AAGTGCTTACATGGTAATTACATAGTAAGTTGAAGTGTATTTTTGTGTAATTAATGTGTATAATTGTAATAAAATATATGTATTTTGTACAGCAGTATTTACTGATAATGATTAAAAAATAAAAAATAAAATTGAACCTGAGTTACATGGTAAAAACTGTTTAAGAACTCAGAATCAATAATACACTTTAACTTACTATGTAATTACCATGTAAGTACTTAGTAATTAGGGGACTATCAAAGGAATCGTTAACAAAAAGAAAAAAAAGTCAGTAAAACACGGTTAAAAATGTGCTACAATTTTTCTTTGTCACCATTTATTGTTTCAAGTTCTTTTTAATTTACCGTCATTTTGTTGACAATCCCTCCCAACATGTGTGCCGCACCCGTGGGGGATGTGGGGGATTCAACACCCACACATTTCCAGCTGTTTTACTCACCTCCACACCAGTCTGGTTTCTCGCACTCACTCTGTTTGCTCATCTCCTTCTTCCCCTCCCTCTCCTGTTTCTCCTTGAAACCCGACATCGACTGTCGGGTTTCAAGGAGAAACAGGAGAGGGAGGGAAGAGCTCGACTGAATTCATAATTTTACATTTTGACATTAGCTACAAACTCTGAGTTTGATAAAGTGAAGAACAACAATTTGCAGAGGTTTATTAACTGGCGCGGCGCCAGCTTTTCATTTTTTGGGTGAGCCACGGTAATTTTGGATGGACCTTAATAAGCAGTGACTTAGTGAAGCAGGCAGGTCGCGCTAGAAAATTTCGTTTAAAAAGACGTCATAAATGTTTCCCCCGTCATTTTTATTTCTAAAATATGAAGTAAAAACTCCCAATTTAATTTTCATTCATTTTTCATTTATTGGCACCAGAATGCATTACCTGCACTTCTAATGTTCACCTCTCAACGTAGGACTCTTTCATAAGGGTACATGCACACCAGTAGTTTTTACGGTTATTCATGGGGAAAAATCTCCGACATTTTTGAAAAAAAAATCCATCTTCCAGTAAAAGCAAAGCATCCAGCCCACCTCTCCAAATGCGTAAAATGTGCATCACAGCCGCTAGTTAGGCGCGCCACGCGCACCATCAGCTACGTCAGCCCAGACAAGAGCAGAGCAAATAGAGAAAGAATAGAGGATAATTCTGTCTGGATGTGGATGGTCTAACCAACCAGACCAGCGTGCCCAGTAACATATTAATGTTACAATTAAACAGTTTCACTTCATGTAGGCTAGGAACATTTCACCTGCCGTGGCCCGACCGCTTCTGCTCCACATAAACTTTGTGCGTAATCAAATGTCTCTACAGGTGCTTTCTGAGCTGAAGAGGCTATTCTGCCTCAGACTGGATGCGTCATGCGTCTCCTTATTAGAGACAGGAACAAGTGCTGTTCAGCCAAAGTTTCATAATCAGAGAAAATTTTTCCAAGTTACACATCCCTCAGAGAGACCGGGTTTCCAGACCGTTTCAGTGGGAGGAAATCTTACCGCATCGCTGTGGTTCTGCGCTGCGAACCCCTCTACAGCTCTTCAGCTCACTGTCCACCGTGTGCACTCCGATCTGCGCTGAGCACAGTGTCCAATATAAAGCTCTGATGTTCTGATGGGAATCATTTCTTGATTGATGTAGTTCCCTCCACGATGTGCGTAACGATTAAAATGTCAGCTCATCTGTGTGCGCATCAGTGTGCGTCGGGGTAATTCTTTCAAAACAACCAACATCCTTGAGTTTATCTGTCAAAATAAACAGTCAAATGGAAATATCTGTAACCTGCCGTTTAACTGTTTTGCCTTCTTGTGAAGATGGTTGCAAAGAGAAACAACTAAACTTGATTAACCCCAGAGCCGTGCGCACTGCACTGTACTTCCTGACTGTAAATGAGGGGGAAACAATTTAATCGGATCATTTTCTTTTCAACATGGTTTAATGTAAAGTTTCATTCAGTACAAACTTTAGTTGCACCAATCTAACGAGACAGAGCCTGGATTTGTATTCCGAACAGTTTAAACATGTTTAAAACGGAGACATGCGTGACACGTCTAAAATTCGCACCTGCTCCGCTGTTATGGAAATTAAACTAACAAGATGAATAACATGAAAGTATTTTAGGAACAGACAACATCCCCCACACTTTTGAAAAGCTTGCAACGCGCCTGCCTCCCAAAAGTGGAAACTGTATGAAGAAAAAAAAAACCTTATTACCATTTCTAAAGAAAAATTGTCCCATGATTTTTTTCTGACGATTCTCAGAATTTTAGCAACGAGGCCATAGAGCCCACTCCAAAAACCTGGGATACCACTGGGACTGGTTGGAGAAAATTTGGAAACTCAATCACGAACAAAAATGAAGAATTTTTCACCAACAGTTACAACTCAGTGAGACAGTTGTTTTAGAGTAATACAAAAGCACAAAGACAAGGCAAAAAAAAAAGCATGTTCTTTTTTTGTCAAATTTGGCACTTTCACGCTTCCATACTAGCCTAATCTGACCCTCAGCACTCAGAGCAGTTTTGCCTCCTCCATTTCGGTAAGTAAATCTTTTTATTCATGTCTCTCATTCCTGTTTCTTCACCCCCTCAATATTTTCCTGTGAATCAGGATTTAAATAAAGAACTAGTCAGGAAATAGTTTTCATATTGACATGTGTATCATGGTGAAAGGGAGGAGAATTGGGTGGAAGGTGGAGGTTGTAAAAAGCATTCGGCTGTCTTGAGGGGCTCAGGGATGGGCAACGGTGCAGGATGTTGGCCCGTTAATAAGTGACCATCTGATGGAGGCTTGTCAGAGTGCTGGAACAGTTAGTGGTGGGAGGTGTTGGCATTTAAAAGAACATTTGGATCAGAGCTGGTGCGTACAAGGACACAGCTCTCTATAAAAAAGCTAAATCGATTCTATCTGTCATACCTCAAAGGTCCTTAGAGTAAAAGGAAGTCCATTTTGTCATTTTTGTCTTTTTCTGATATTTGCCTCTTTAGACCTCTTGAGATGTCGAAGCCTGTCCACCACTTGAGTTAAGTCAATAACTTCCTGATAGCCACAGCCTTATTTAACATTACACTTTTTCCTTCTTCGTTCTTATGGGCCATAAACAATTCATAATGTTAGACCTCTATCAGCTGTCTCAATGTCCAAGACGGCTACAAAATATGAGAGCACATCTGCTGAGTCTTGTGCTCCGATGTAAAATAAAGCTTTATTCAGAAACCTCAAGGCTGTTTTACGGTGTTCCACCACATAAAGACCAGCAGTTACATCCCGGCTCAGGCACGTTCGTCAAGCCAGGAGTTCATTTCTGTCCGAGCGCCGTGGAGCCCTTATCCATCATCGGGTGTCCAGTTTGGTTGAAAAGAAGCTCGTCTGGAAGAAATGCCTTCTCTGCACCTTTGCCACACAGTGAGTTGTGTGAATTGCCAACTTTGTGAGGCTGTGTGCGGAGAAAACCGATGGAAGCGACTGGTGGTATTAGAGGATTTTGAGAGGAAAGCCTTCGATCATGTCAAGGTGACTTCAGGGCAACCGTTATACAGTCGGTTGGTGGAAAATCAGATTCTGTCAGAGTCCCAACAGTGGATGGATGTGTTTTTTTTCCTCAATTAAATGCATTGTTTGACTAAAAAAAAGCATACAACTTTTCCCCTGAACCATGCATGGATGTAAACACCCCGCTGATAAATGGTCCATAGTGACGGGAACATGATTACATGAAGCCGCGGCTGTAGGCCATTCAGCAGGCAGACGAAGCGCCATGTCACCTCTAAGAGGGCTTTGAATAAATGTCCCTGTCTCCACCAAGGCCCACTTCCTTAATCAGGGTGTCGGATGGTAATGATTAGCTTCCCCGCGCGCAGCTTCCCAGCAGCCGAATCGTCCCTATAACTCATATGCTGTTAATAATCTGCCGGGAGAGACAATGCCCTTCTTTATTTTTAAGCCCATCCGGTCCTAATCTGAACCAACTTCTTTTGAATTAAATTTCATTTATTATGACAAGTACCTCCCAGGAATCAGGCCATACTTCAAATTCAAGGATGCAAGCATGCAAGGTGATTGGATCTAAATCCCCTCGCAAGGGTTAACGATGCGTCCGAATGGCGCGCCAATGAAAGACCGATGGTGGCTCTTGCGCCTCAGGTCACAGCTTGGGAGGGAGGTGGATTACAGAAGCATCATTATATTCACTGTCCATGTCTAAAACCAGGATTAGCAACATGGAGAAGGATTAGGCTTTATTATTCTGTTCTCCACTCTGGCATCTGTTAAAGCCACTGGTCCTCAAAAAAAAAAAAAAAATAGAAACACATTTTTGCTAATCACCATCTGAGAACCCTGGATTTGCTGGTAGCAGGAGCTCTCGATTTGATCGAATCGCATAAAGCAGGTCAAGAAACCAGCTTTTTACGACTAAGTTTGACGATTCAGGCCATGAAAAAGCCCTCGAACATAATAAAAGTTGCAATAAAAACCTCAGAATTTTACGATTCCCGAAAAAGATTTAAATACAGCCAAATTCTCATGAACAGTTAGGTTTTATATCCGCTCCGGTTTCAGTTTTAATTAGCAAAACAAGTATCTGGTGTCTTTTTTGTGACATTCAGACTCATTAACTCTGCAGCTAAATGAAGGGATTTAATACTCAGTGCATGATTAGGAAATTATACGGGATGAATCCTTCTTAAAAGCATTGCTGTTTATTTTGCATAAAAATCCATTTTCTTCCCGTTTTTTGTGTTGAGTACTCTATTTATGTAAACTGTTAGTGTCTTTGGACGTGGCATGGAATTACTGTGTGCATTTGTCAATAGCATTTATCTTCATGCTCAGATGCACTTCAAAGAGCACCGTCTGCAACACGGGACTTGGAGACAAAAGAACAATAAGAGTTAACCTTGAAGTATTGATTTCCTGCCATCTTGTACATGTACAATAAATCCACTATAAATCCATGGCTGTGTGCTCATTTCTCTTTTTTCTTTTTGCTCTCTTTTCTCCTTGTGCAGAGATCCTGAACGGGGGTGTCTATGTTGACCAGAACAAATTCCTGTGTCACGCCGACACCATCCACTGGCGGGATATTATCAAGAACCCCCAGGCCGAGCTGCTGGTGGTACCGTCCAACAACAGCAACAACGGATGTGAGTAAAGCACATCCAGTCAGACTGGAAACTTTGGATGCAATTCAAATGGTTTGATCCTTTTCCCAAAGTTCCACACAGACACCAGCGGCAGCAGTCGTTCCTTTACACACACGCCGTTTGCCTATAGGTGACTTGGAAGCAAAATCACAAAGTTAGATCAACGCGTGAACCTTCCCATCGTATTGGGATGGCTGCGGCTTGGTAGCGAGGCCCGTGGAGCAGCTGTCTGTTGCTCTCTTTGTTAATCTCACCCAATCTGACAGTTTACCCATTCCTGTCCATAAAACAAGCATCACAGTCCACTGGGCATTCTGTGTCAAACCAAATCTTTTGAGATTTGCTGCCCATGTGTAGACAAGACTCTTGCTGATTGGAAGAGGACTACAAAAAGAAAAGCAAAGAAAGGTTTTTAGATTGAGTAGAGATGGACGAGGCATCAATAGGCAGCAAGAGGCATGTGTAAAAAGGCAAATTATTGTCAAGAGATAATTAGGAAAAAGGTTATTTTGTGTCCATGTTGATATTAAAGTCAAAATGTTGGGATTAAAAGTGAAATGCTCAAATTAAATTTAAATAAAACGTCCAAACTACGTTGCAGAATATGTCAAAATTAGTGCGGTGTCGATTTAAATTTAAAGGTTGAGTTTAGAATTATCATGTTGGGGGAAATTTTTAATACAATTTAAATGTTGAGATCAAAGTTTATATTTCAACTTTAAAAATACAAGTTTGAGATTAAAAGTAACATTTTAAGGTTAAGGTTGAAATGTTGAGATAAAAGTTCAAATATCATAACTAAAGTTGCAACAACGAAAAGTCAAATTTGAGATTGAGTTCATAACGTTTAGACACAAAACTTTACTTTAAAATTAAACATTTTGAGATCAAAGCTAAAATGGAGAATACCTAAATACTGTTTTGAGAATGCTGTCAAAATTTCAGGAGTCAAATGGCCCGTATTTTTATAGCAACTTCTAGTTTCTACTGCCCCTCAAGGCGCTTTACAACACAAATGGTGATTCACTCACTTACACACACATAAACTTATTTTAGATAAAAAGTGCTCAAAAAGTGAACCAGGACCGGAACAAAGATCTTCAATGCATAAATTAGGCCCGTTTCCACTACTGGAACTTTTGAGTAATTTTACCAAGACTTTGCGGCATGTCTCCACTTCACTGGGCTGACTTGTGAAGTCATTATGTTCGTTTCAGGAATAATCTGAGTACCTGAACTGGGATATGAGCTCAGAATAGGCCAATGAAGTCGCCTGGAAGGATTTGCATGGTTACTCGTGCTGGAAATGACATCGGCAGACATCACCAGACAACTGGCATTTGTAAAAATGGAAGAACTGCTGGTTACATTTAATGGAAGGGGTAGAAAATAAGCAGCGCTCATGTTGACTTAAAATCACTATTTGTAAACTCCCAATGCTAAAATATGGTGAAAGCCCACTTAACGCCGTGTTTTATGCCTCTTTGTGGAATCCTACAGAGGTCTTTAAAAAACCGTACTTCCTCTAGTCATTAAACATCACTTTTTATGTCACAGCTGACATGCCCCCTGAACAACACCTTTTGGAGCTGAGCTATCTTATTTTACCCGTCACCTTTCACCCTCCCAAAAATGTTCCGAAAGTTGTCTACTGGAAACGTAGCTATTATCATAAGTAAACATGCCTTGTATGTGCTATAAATTACACCTGGGTGTAAGCACAACCTCTAAATTATTGTTTTTGTTGTTGTTGTGGGTTTATGATTGATTCATTTACGTTCAGCGCAGAAATGAGATGCGCGGATGAAATGCGCATCGGAACTTGCAGTGTTTGCGGTTCCTTCTTACCCTCTGTGGCTTGTCTTCGCTGTGAGCCAATATTCTCCCAGACTGTAGGGGGCGGCATGGGGCTCTATGGCATACATACAACACTACGCCAGAGTAGAAGTAGAAGTCACTGTTGTTTACAACATTTTTTCTGTGCCCTTGTCTTTTCGACTGTGACAGTGATTATTAAGTCATTCACTGCCAGCTATTTCCTGATCAGAAAAGCCCTTTACTGCCAGCGTTTTTCAGCGTTTTCTCTGTATTTTTTAAGAGTCACAGAACGTTACACTCTAAGATGATGTCAACGCCAAAACTAACTAAACAAAATGGAGACTCACCTCTTACATCAGGAAGAATCTGCGCATTTCGAGTGTTATCCGTTCTTTCATAATCCGTTATTGAATGGTGATCGGCAGAAGTTTTTCCGGTTCGCGCCTCACTTTTTTTACAGCAGCGACCCAAAACGATCTCCTAACACATGGATTTTCTGCCTCCTGATCACATGACGTGTGAGGTATGCGGATGAAAATTGGCTTTAGAGCTGGGATGTTTGTTCTCACGGTGAGGGGGCTCGTCCCGACGCCCACACAGTAAAAAAATGCAAATGATGACTTTAGTCGTCAATGGCAGTGAATGAGTTAACAATATTTTGATCACAGTGATTGTTATGGACCAAATCATAAAAATGTTTGTACTTACGAACCTCCGCCGTTTCGAGCACTTGCCAGTCCGCCATGTTTGTCCGCACTGGACCGTCCGCGTGGTAAGAAAATTACCTAGGTGAGTGGTGCGGATACTTTGGGCCACGCGGAGGAACGTGGTTACTAAAATTACCTATTTTGGCCGCGCGGAGTCATGCGGACCTCACGGATGCGTCAAGCATAAACCAAGCTTCATTAACACCTGTCTACTTTCCAGACTATGGGTGCCCAGAAGTATGAAAAAATTAATGCAAATCAATGTGGCTAAAAATGCTATTTTCTAATTTCATACGTTATGTGACATGGATTTCACATATGATGTTTGTGAATCTTAAAGTCACATTCTGATGACAAAAAAGTGCTTATTTTTGAACAGAGGCAAAAGTTTTTTTAGGTTGTGTGGGGATATAAGTCCAGGACTACAAATGTGCGTCACCAAAGTGATGTCATTGAACCAGAAATAAAAAGAGCAAAGAAAAATTTGCTGTAAATTTTGCAAATTTCTAATCCTTCCTTCAGGAGGAAAGAACCACCATAAATCTGGCCATGTTGAGTAGCAGCTGTGCTAGGGAAGAGGAGATATTTGCACGTGCCAACATCTGATTTGTGGTTACGCTAATTACGAACTTTAACAAGCTGATAAGTCTCAAAATACGTGACTGGTGTGGTCAGAAATACACAAGATTACTTTTCACGCCCTCTGTTGTCCTGGCGGAGAATTGCTTTGCAACACTCCAGGAGGCGTAGAAGCAAGAGGGCAAATTTTCTCCATCTGTGTGTGCGTGTCTCTCCCTGGTGGAGTTGACGGAGAAGTATAATTTAACCTTTATCCTTCTTTACAGCATGAGTTCCTCCATGACAACAACAACAACAATAGTGGTAAATAAAAGCATGACTTAGCTTTAAATATTCACGAATATTTTATTGTTAATTATTGAAGCTTGACATTCTTTGAGTTCTGCAGTTACTATCAGGGCTGCCCGTCTGACTTATTGAAGAACATGTTATCTTGTAATTTACCCAGTAAATCATCACCCTGAACCCTTGGTTAGAGTAATAATAAAAGACAAACAAACCCAGCTGGGGGAAAAATAACAACAAAACAAGTTTGCTTCCTTCACTTTATTTCCTAATTCTGACTTTAATTTTAGGAAATGAACAGCATTCTCCTCAAGCTTCTTTTTCTCCTTTAAGGACCCACTTTGAAGTACAAATTGTTTGCAGCACTTCATTTTTGTTGATTAAATATTGAAGGAGGGAGTTAAAAAGCAGCAAAGAACAGAGGAGCTGCACCAAAAACATGACAAAAGAGTGTGTGGGAGTGGAGGTTGCCAAACTGGGGCCCGCTGCCGAGTTGTAGTTAGTATTTAACATCGACGACCCCGCGGTGGGAGTGGTTGGAGTGGCCGGGTGACAACGCTGTTTCACTTACTATGTAATTAACCCATAGTCAATTAAGTCTTGATGATGGGGCGCTGGCAGATGAGGGCTGTGAGTCCTCTGTCAGGTCCCACTTTCCATTTAAGAGCTTGACAGAAGGGAGTAGAGGCCCGTATTTCACGTCCATGTGCATCACAGACCACAAGCAGCGGTGGCCTGTTGTCCCACAGATTCCACGGATGTGTTGCTGTCACAAATGAGCTTTGCTGTGTTGCCTCCAAACTATTTGTGAAGTTTGTTGGTGTGTTGCACAGGCAAACGCTGCCATCGCTCGTGTAACGGACGCTGCTGGGGGCCTCAGGAGACCCAGTGTCAAACCTGTGAGTATGCACAATGTCACATGTTAACGCTAACACTGTAGATATCACAGATGGGCTGATAAACCCCTTCAAGGGATCATTTTTGTCATTATGTAATTATTAATAAATAACAGGGTCTGCAGACTTTACAGCCCGAAGAGTCTTTTTGTTAATCTCAGTCAACCAGACTAAAAATATTGTAGACAAAAAGAATTTGTACATTTTTAGAAATATCTCCCAAAGAGGATTAGGCCCACTGGAAAAAAAAAGGCTTCTGAGAATAATGTGAGAATTCAGAGTTCTGTGATTGAGACATTTTTTTAGATTTAAGAATCTTTGTTTTTTCCTCTTCCGTAAATTCTATCTATTATAGGCGTGTTTCCATTGTCAGAACTTCAGGGTAAATTCTCCAAAACTTCCCGGCATGCGCGTGTCTCCAACTCACCGGGCTGGATGAACGAATGTTCTCACAAACTTTCAGAGTACTTGAAGGGGAGTTGGGTTGTAACTCAGTAGGAAAGTTCATCAGCAGATGTCGTCCAAAACAACGGACATTAGTAAAAACAGAATCAGAATCAGAAGGTTTTATTGCCATATGTGTGAGAATCACAACCTTAGGAAGTTGCTGCAGGACTTGGTGCAAAAAAGGATGATAAAAATAAGAGATTAGAAAAAAAAAGGAAGTAATAATATAATCATGAGAAAACAATAATAATAAAGTGGCTGCTAAATACAAGACAGTGTAGGTTCTGATCAGAGCGGATCGGTTCAGCTACAGACACAACACCGGGTCATGTGGCTGGAACCAAGCGACTGGAGTGAGCAGCCCTAGGATTGTTGTTGATGAGTCCAACAGCAGAGGGGAAGAAACTGTTGTGGAGAGAGGTTCTGGTCCGAATGGATCTGAGCCTCCTGTCAGACTGGAGCGAGTCATAGGGACAGGATGACTCAGGTCTGCTGTGATCCAACTTGCACGCCTCAGTGTCCTGGAGGTGTACAGGTGCTTTATGGAGGGGAGTTTGCAGCCAATGACCTTCTCACACCTTTAACAGCGCCACACCCCTTCATGTAATCTGTGTATTTGCACAGGACCCCCAACCTTGAATTACACACACGCACCAAACACATTTATGCGTCACGGTCACATGACTAAACATTTACACATCATCACCCCCTCACCGTCTGAAAGAAAGAAAGAAAACAATCTTTTGTATAGCGCCTCTCAAGATTAAAATGATGAGGCATTTCATGAGTGCAAAAAAAATAAATAAACAAATTTAAAGATTTTTTTATTAAATTAAAATATCATAACTTGTGATAAATTGTGTGGAAGGAGAAAGAAAAAAATAAATAAGAAAGAGGGAAATCAGTGGATCCCAGGAAATGCGTAATTGGTAGATAGATCAGAACAAGGGGATCGAATCCAGATTGGACCTTTTTTAATATCCGCCACAGATCTCTCTGAAGAATTCACAACATTGACGGCTTCAGCAACGCTGTGCCACTCCGTGGATTTTCTCTTATTTGTTTTGCAAAAGCACTTCCTGTCATTTCTCCACCTCACCCACAGGTACCTCAACTTCTACTTCTGTGAAATTGAGCTTCCTTGATCTGCCTTGATCTACGGTCGCCATGTCATTGGTGGAGCGCTGCAATAGCCGGCTTATGTATATGCATGAGATCCACAAGGCACTTTGCATTGACTATTTATGGCAGTAAGTGGGCGTGGTGAGGGCGGGATGTGACTAAAAAGCAGCTGAGAAACTTTCTCGTTAGTCTCAGATTTATGAAGCGGAGACTGCGTGCAGCTGTGCGTACTCCATGTTTGATAGATCACAAACCTACTCAGCATAAGTACTTTTTTTTTTGCTGAGCTTAAGTACTGTTTTAGTAAGGATTCTACACAATGTTTGATAAATGAGACCCCTGACCTGTATTGGAATGTTTACTGTGTGAAGTGCCTTGAGACGACTCCTGTGATTTGGCACCATATAAATAAACTTGAATTGAATTATAAAGGAGGTGATGGTGGACACCCACTTGAGATCTTGGGTGATGGTGGTACCCAGGAAGCGACATGAGTCCACTACCGTGATGGGAGTGTCAGACAGGGTTATGGAGGGGAGAGGGGCTGTGTGCTTCCTAAAGTCCACAACAACTTCTGTTGTCTTCTGGGTGTTTAGCACCAGGTTATTGTGGCTGCACCAGGACACCAGCGATTCCACCTCCATTCGTTTGGCAGACTCATCCCCTTCAGAAATGAGTCCAGTGACGGTGGTGTCGTCTGCAAACCTCATAAGCTTGACAGACTTGTGGTTAGAGATGCAGCTGCTGGTGTAATGAGAGCAGAGTAGGGGGGAGAGGACACAGCCCTGAGGGCACTGCTTTAAAATCACCATTACTGAACTCCCAACACCAAACAACACTGCAGAATTCTCCCACAACAACGTAATCCATAGGGCATGTTGTCTCACAGAGCGCTGTAGAAAACGAAGCTTCTACCGGTCATTAAACAACACATTTTACATCACAGAGCTGCGACCCAGTCCTCCGAATGAATTAAGTTATGATGTATTTCAACAGAATAAAACTTTTATTGTCACTGTGGATGCTTTTTGGCACTGATCAGTGACATCACTCAAGGCTAAAGCAGTCGTAATAGGGAGCACCAAGTTGCACCCATCTACTTCCGCGCTATGGGTGCCCAGAAGAACAAAAAGATTAATGCAAGTCGATGTGGCTATTTTCTAATCCTGTTAAATATGGATTTCACACATGATGTCCATAAATTTTAAAGACACGTTCTGATGCCAAAAAGGTGCCTTTTTCAAACTGTGGAAAACATTTTTTTTAGGTGTTGTATGAAATTTTGTCCAGGACTACAAATGTGTCTCACCAAATTGACATCATCAAACCAGCCACGCAGAAAATCTGAGGAAAAAACGGCTGTACGTATGTAAATATGAGTAACGAGGCAACTTTTTATTAAATGTGTACAATTTACATCATTCTTATCTGTGTGCTCCATTATGTAATGATGTTTTAAGGGCATAAAAATAAAAGAAATGACAATTTTTAACACGTTTCATTTTAACAAATCGAGACAAATCTTTAAAGTTTATGTCAAAATACTTTTTTCTGCTCCTTGGTTTGTAATTTTGAGTCAATTCCCTGCTTTTTTAAACCATCAGCGAGGAGAAGCAAATAATATAAAAGCACAGATTAAAAACTGTGTTCATATTATGAATCTATTAAAAATCACTCCTTATTCTAATCATTTACTTCCTCGTTTTGCGGTTTTGATGACAGGGCATGCAAATCTCAGCAGGCAGTGCTCTTTTCAGCACAACACCTGGCCATCGTATCTCCTGGTCAATTACCCCTCCTGGAAATGACAATGGAAACACGCCTTATAACCCCAATTTCCCACTGGAAGCATCAGCGGCGCGGAACGGCAGTGGTAGGGTTTACTTGCAAGCTACATTGCAGTCCAGTACACACCTGGTGAGTTTTTGTCGCGGAACGCCTTCCTCGCTGGACTTCTTACTAGACTCGCGAGATCACAAAATCCCTCAAGACTTCAAAGGTCACGGTTTGTTTATGTCATCCGCCATTTAACTAAAAAGAAGGAACCATGTTTGACATGTCTCCCTGTTTGATGTCATATATGATGTTGTTCCTCTCCACTGCCAGGATCAAAGCCATGAAAAAACACACCACTGCTCTTCTGGAATGATACTGGGAGTAAATAAGCTGTTATGTCACTTGAATTTATGTAATCTACATAGATATGAAATCACATTGCTGTAATGGACTTTAATTTTGAAAATCAGCAGGGGTTTTACAATGATTTCCTGTCCAGCCCTATGTTAACTGCAGAAACTGACGTGTTGGCATGCGGCAAAAAAAAAAAGAACTCCAACCTATCCTTAATTGTGCGGCGTGCCGCCTCTGGGACGCACCTGAAAATGTCCGCATTGCAGCGACGTTCCGCTGCTGTTACTCGCCACCGATGCTTCCAGTGAGAAACGGGGTAAGAAATTAGCAGAAATTTTTGAAAATTAAATTGATGAACATATTTTCTCAGCAAATATTTCTTGCAATATAAATCATTAAGGCAAAAATACTAAATGTGTTGTATAATGTTCTTCGTCTTTTCCCGACAGCTTTTTATTCTATTTCTGGTTTTTAAGCCTTTCTAATTTGGGGACGTAACGTTGACACTTTGGTTTTTACAAACGTTGTTTTTTTTAGATTTTTATTCAGTTTGATTTCATTGATAAATTGAGTACCAAAGGTAAGCAATACAACATAACATTAAAAAGTGGAAATGGTGTGCATGGCTATAGATTTGTATTGTTTCAACAACATATTGTTATATTTTAAGTGAAATGATGTAAAAGCATGCATTTATGACTGTTTCTGAAATGATCTGGGAGAAATGGTGCAATCTGCAGCCAAACTAAATGAATCTTATTGTTTCTCTTTACGAACAAAAACTAATAAATTACCTTGTTTTTTGTTGTTTGTTTGTTTTGATTTTATTTATTTTTGCCCCTTGCGTCATTATGTTCTCAACTCTGCCGAAAGTATAAACAGCAGTTTCTAATTGAGCTCCTGCTGACTTCCTGGTGGGAGATGCTTCATCAAACCGAGTGCAATAAGTATCAGGAAATTTATATTTTACTATTATTACTTGTACTGGCGTCTTTAATATTGCATTAGAATACAGAGAGGAGCTAATATTGACTTGGTTTCTACTGGAGTTGGTATGGCAACAGATGAAGCGAGGGTTTCTAAAAATCAGGACCATTTGGAATGCTTGGCTTGGCTGAAGTCGCCCTGTGAAATCCAGAACAATTGGATTCATTCTTAATTTTTCCAAATGAAATTCCCAGTAAAGCTGCTAAACTTCCTCCAGCAGCAGCATGCCGCAGCTAATTTGTACCTGCCAAGTTTCAGTCGCTAAGTTGAATCTGGAGGATGAGACTCGCTCAAGGACAGCCGGTCTGCGTGTTCAAGCTGGCAACTGTGTGTTCAACCTTTAGGGTTACCGGAGCGAGTTTCATTCCGCCTGACAATATTCGGCAGACTTGAGATGAAGGTTGTGCGCGGTGGTATTGTCTCTTTTATAAATGTGTATGAACGCCTGTGTCAAACCTATAAGATGTATTTTAACTTCCTGTGCAGTGACGAAAACGGTGTGTGCTGAGCAGTGTGACGGTCGGTGCTTCGGGCCCTACGTCAGTGACTGCTGTCATCGGGAGTGTGCCGGCGGCTGCTCTGGTCCCAAAGACACGGACTGCTTCGTACGTCTGCACCACACTAACACACTCAACTGCATTTTTTACATCTCCCTTCTCATTCTCACGTTTATTTAAAACTGGGGTTCAAGTTTCACTAACGGCAATGGGGGATCTTTCAATTGTGATGAAAAACATAGGTAACACTTCACAATAAGGGTCCCTTTATTAACACTAATTAGTGCATTATTAAGCATTAGTAACTATGAGGGGCCATGTAGGCAATAATTTACCCTGTCACTCTCACATACATGTATTCTCCTCACACATGCATACAATACACTCATACTCATATATATTCTATGCACACACTCATATGTTCTCTACACACAAACACAAACACACACACACACACACACACACACACTTTCTGTGCACACACCTATATTCACTACGAACACACACACACACACACACACACACACACACACACACAAACCTAGATACACGCACACACACATATTGTCTTTAACCACAAACGTTCTTAAATTTCTCACACACACATATATATATATATATATATATATATATATATATATATATATATATATATATATTATCTCTGATATTCATATGATGTCAAACCAGAAAGTATGAATGTGCAAGTGAGAATGTGTGTGTATGAGAGGAGAATATATGAATGTGAGAGAACGTGTGGTTGTGATGTGACTTTGGATGAAACAGAGAGCAGGCCACCTTACTGCTTGGTGACTGGCTGAAAGGCTGAGACAATCGAGACGGAGCTGGAGGCTTCAGCAGGAAACGGGGGTGTTTGGGAATTAACCTGGTACTGAAATGGTCACAACTTTGTCTTCAACTCTTGAGCAGTAAAGGACATGCTCACCTCTCCCTAATGTTACTCAAAGCGTGGCTGAAAATGACGTGAAAGAACTCTTTAGAACAAACTCCTCTGCAGGCCAGCCAGGATAAACCGGTATCTGTGCCTTGATTCTGGCTAACTGGACATGGAATAATGCGTCACGGTCACATGACTAAACATTTACACATCATCACCCCCTCACCGTCTGAAAGAAAGAAAGAAAACTATCTTTTATATAGCACCTGTCAAGATAAAAATCAGGAGGCGTTTCATGAGTGCAAAAATTAACAAAATTAAATGATTTTTTAATTACATAAAAATATGATAAAAATTTTAAAAAATTCATAACTTGTGATAAAAATGTGTGGAAGGAGAAAGAAAAATAAATAAGAAAGAGGGAAATCAGTGGATCCCAGGAAATGCGTAATTGGTAGATAGATCAGAACAAGGGGAGAGTGGTGAAGAAGGTCACGCCAAAACCAGCTTGAACAGGTGAGTCTTCAGCTGCTTTTTAAATGAGACCACTGAGTCCACTGATCTCAGGCTCAGGGGGAGAGAGGTCCAGAGTCTGGGGGCCACAGCAGCAAATGATCTGTCACCTTTGGTCTTTAGCCTGGTGCTGCACAACCAGTAGTCTTTGATCACTGGACCTCAGGGACCTGCTGGGGGTGTAGGGACTAAGAAGATCACCAATGTAAGATGGTGCTTGTCCATGTAAGGCCCTATAGACCAGAACCAGGATCTTGAAATGAACCCTGAAGTTGACTGGCAGCCAGTGAAGCTGGAGGAGAAGCGGGGTGATGTGGGTGTGTTTGGAGGACTTGGTCAGAAGCCGAGCACAGGCGTTCTGAACCACCTGTAGACGGTTCAGGGAGGTTCTGCTCAGACACGTGAAAAGAGAGTTACAGTAGTCTAAGCGTGAGGAGATGAAGGTGTGGATAACTGTCTCAAGTTCAGAGCGAGACAGAATGGGACTCAGCTTAGCAATGTTCCTGAGATGGGAATCCAGGGTGAGAGCTGGGTCAAAGGTCACACCGATTCCTAACAGAGGGTTTGGTGTGAGAAGCAAGCTAAACAAGAGTGTCTGACTTTAAGAACCAACTTGTCAAGGATCTCAGTCTTATCTTCCTTCAGCTTTGGAAAGTTTCCAACAGAAACACAAATGTAAAAAAAAAGGAAAAATAATATCAGTTGTTAATATTGACCCAGTTTTACTCATCGAATCAATACAATAAGTAAAAAAATGACTTGCTTCGGCCAAAACTGATATTGATGCCAATGTATTGTGCATCCCCATTGTTCATGCTTAATAGAGCTCTAAGTAATGTTATTAAGGGGACCCTTATTGTGAAGTGTTACCAAAAGATAGATCAATAGAAAGATGGGTAGTTCAGATTACATTTAATCACTTTTATCATAAACCACATCTCGGCTCACATCTAATATGTTCCATCCCACATCTCCAATCACAAGATGCCTCACGTGTCTTTTAATATATCACACACGACACTGTTCACACACCTCGTACCACACATCTCCTCACACACCTGATTGGACACTTCTCATATCACACTAGTGCATAAATCATACATCACGTCACTCATCTCATATATTTAATTATATGGGTTTACTGTGCCATGTGACTTTTTTTCTCTTTATTTTTTTCATTCAAAGTGTTAAAAAAACCAAACAATTTGAATGAAAAGGGGCAGAAGGAAGAAATATCTTATATTATCTGCCCCTATTTACAAACCAAACTTTTTAATAATGCTTCCATACAATTCGCAATAAACAACAAAGCAAAACAAAACACTGATTCTTTTTATATCGTTGTAACTTAAATACCTACTCAGACACCATCTGAATTTAGGTTATTGTAATTCTGTAATACACCTGATTTGATACATTTTTAAATATATTTAGTGACTTTGATTGTTTTATGTCTTTGCTGAGGTTGACGCATGTTCTCACACCATTTACAGAGTAAGTCATCTCCTTCATTCTGGTTCTAAATTTCGGTTTTTTAAATACTTCACTTCCTTTTAAGAAATAATTACTGACTCTTTTTTCAAACATTTTCCGAATGTTGGAGGGTGACGTATTTGTAATAGCTTTATACATTGTTTGTAATATTTTCATATTAACTAAATCATAAAATTTCAGTAGTTTATATCTGATGAATAACGGATTGGATGGATCTCTGTAGCGATTGCTATTAACGATTCTCGATGCTCTTTTCTGTAGGATAATTATATTCTTATATGCCACATTGATTTCTATGTTCTAACATTTTTATGTCTCATGCATTGTATGATATTTATGACATCTCACGTTGCATCTATGTCCATAACTTCCTCCCTTTCTATAACTGGTGCATTTTATTTACTTGCTAGTATGATGTTTGCAGTTTATAGTGCTGTAAAACGCTGCAGCGGTAAATTCCCTTCAAAGAACAAATTGGTGATTTGGTGTTCCAATTAATATCATTTTATCACCTCAACTTCTTTCTGCTTTGCAAACCCATACTTTGCAACAGAGTTGATATTGGTGTTGTAATTCACAGAAAGGCTCATCCAATTCAATTACTGCCATTTCTGAGAGTGGCCGCGCACGACAAGATGCTTAAGGGCTTTATGGGAAAACATTACACCGTTTACATTATGGCTGTGGATCAATGGCTTCAATTTTTCCCCCATTTGGCATCCAGAGAGACAACGGGCAGCTGCATGATTCGCATGTCGAAGTTCCGCGTAAAAATGAAATGCTGCTGTAATACTCCTTCAGTCACAGTGACTTATGCCTGGAATTCTCCCCTGGCGTCACCGGCTCAACTCCACACACCCTCGAGGAGGAGTCTCAGTGGCATCCTGGCCTGTCTGCTAACTGTACTCGTGTGTTCTCTGCAGGCTTGCACCAATTTCAACGACAGCGGAGCATGCGTGACCCAGTGTCCTCAGCCGTTTGTGTACAACCCCACATCTTTCCAGTTAGAACACAACCCCAGAGCCAAGTACACCTATGGAGCCTTCTGTGTCAAGAAATGTCCCCGTAAGTCTGAGGAAAACAAAGTGGTTTTCACCTAAACATTAAAGATGAAGTAGCTACTCACAAGGATGCTAAGTAAGGTTCACTGAAGAAGCGTTTATCCTCTAATCTATCCTGAAATTAGACTCCAGACAATTATTTCAAGACAAGATAAATGGCTCTAACCTAAACAAATTGTGTATCTCAATCAGCGAGTCGCTCCACCATCTGCTCCAACTTCTGGCAGCTGCAAAGCAAATCTTAGCTCTTGCTTTCACGGTTATGGAGTTGGAGTGTGGCAGTAATTAACAGAGCATGCATTAAAGTCGAGCTGCATCAACAGATTGCATATTCAAGACCTACCAATCATCAGATGAGCAAGTTGTTGTCGTTGTCCAAAGCTGCTACAAATGTATGCACTTCTTTTTTCCCAGCATTAGTCCTTGGTCATTGGTTTTGAAATGTCATTAAAATACAGCACTGTCTTAACATCTCCTGGGTTTCTCTACAACATTACTGTTATAGGAAATCTTTAAGAGGTGTGTAAAAACAACTCAAACCGTTGTTGTGCTTTTGGCAGATAATTTTGTGGTGGACCACAGCTCATGTGTCAGAGCGTGTCCCAGCAACAAGATGGAAGTCGAGGAGAACCGAATCAAAATGTGTATACCATGCACTGACATCTGTCCCAAAGGTAAACAACCCTATATTGTCTTTGATCATGAGATTAAAAGCCTTAAACTCTATGGAAACTGCTCTCTTCCATGCCAGTTGTTTTTTAATGGAGACTTTTATGTTGAGGACTGGTGGACTGGTAGCCCTCATGTTCAGATCTTGAAAATAAATTTCACAGGACATTCAAAGTCATGTTTGACTTGTGAGCACGCTCGCGTAAGTGTCAAGGATGACTCTCACCAATAAACACACCATGTTAGCTCCGTCTCTAGAATATTCACTGAATTTTTTACTTTTTGGTGTTTGCACGAAATGTGTTGGACTCACTTCACAGTTTAATTGGTTGTGTTCATCAGATGGATGGATAGACAGACAGACAGACCAACACATTCTCACACCCAAAGCGTCAAAAAGCATCATTATTTGACGCTTTGGGTGTGAGAATGTGTTGGACAAACAGACAGACAGACAGACAGACAGACAGACAGACAGACAGACAGACAGACAGACAGACAGACAGACCAGCAACAGCAGTGACAGTGAGAACCTCTTGGCCATCTCACGCTCCTTAACGGGGACCACCTCCAGAACCACTGGCTATAACCACGTTGCGGTGTCTTTGGGCAGCTAGCGATAAATGTATTCAGAGTGAAAATATAATTGATACATTTAAAGTCCCGCCCCCCCCCATCAATATTTCCTATGAAATAGCACGTAGCATAGATTTTTTTCTTTTACTTTGATTGTTTCAAGTTGTTTAACATGAAGAATCCTTTCTTCTTCTTCTTTTTTGTCTTTATCTGCTTCTTCATCTTTATCTTTTCTTTTTTATTTGTCTGCTTCTTTGTCTTCTTCTTCTCCTTATTTTTATTTGACTTCTTTTTCATTTTTGTCTTCTTTTTTCTCCTCCTCCACCTTCGTCTTCTTCGTTTTTGTCTTCTTCTTCTAACTTCAACCACCAGTCCATTCTTATAAGTCATGGCTTTTTCTGGGTTCCCGTGTGAAGACGGAATAAGAACAGACTAATTCTTACCCTGGGTGTCATAGAGGTGGAGGCAGAGATAGTTATTTAACTGGAGGTTGCACTGAGATTAAGATTTTATTCTGCAGCCTGCTACATTTATTGAAGGTAGGGGAGCTTATGCAGTTAAAACATTTAATCTAATTATGCTAACAGTGATAATACTGGATTAATGGTAACTCAAAGGAATTAGTTTGAAAGCTTTGGGAAAATGTTTAATTTGACTTTGATAGACGAGTTTAGCTTTCTTAAAATGTCTTAAGTATGCACACTCCAATTACCCTTCCTCCAGTTGCTCATCCTATACCTTTCTTTCCTTCCTTTCAAATGTATCTAGTTAAGCATTTTGTTCTATTTTTACCCTTTCTTTCTTATTAAAGCTGTACAAATTCAATGCATATTACTTTCTGGAGGACAAGTACGGCATAAATAGAGGTTGCATGTTTGATCTCAACATCAGTCGGCTTGTTAATTAACTGAAAATAGTCTGCTAATGAGAAACTGCTACCTGCTCGGTAGTTACAAGTCACTTTGCAACAAGAGCTCCAGCTAAATACCTCAAATGTTTGATGTGGAATTAAAATACATTAGTTCAATACAAAAGATTAGCCGCCTTTCATCATGTTGTTCTCTCAACTGATTTGCCCTTTCTTCTTTGGAGGGAAGTCAGTAATGTTTTCCTTCAGGCTCCACATATCGGCAATGGCATTCATTCATTGGGTAATCTCTCGATCACATCGTCACATCACAGGGAGGGGTTAATGAGGGATAGCCCAAGGAACTGTGGGAAATGATAACAAATTAACGTTTCAGATATGGAATTGGCTGGTATAAATCACTATCAAAAACTGGTTACACCACTTAATGCCAGCCTTATTCATCATCCCCTTTGCCTGTGTCAGAAATACTTGGCTTGCACTAGACTGAAAGAGTAATTAATGCAGATGTAATGAATTCATTATAGAGAGGAATTGGATGTAGATTGGCCTGTACGTTCATCAAAAGAATTCCAATGCCTGGAGAAGGGCCACGGCCTTGCTTATGCACCAAAGGACTTTATTTTCATGAAAGAGGAAAACACTGCAGTAAAAATGTGTTAATAGCAGCTTTTCAGCATGCGTTCTCTGCCGTGCAAATGTACAAGGACACTTTTGATGGACTCTATGTTCATTCTCATCAAATGCAACCAAAATGAACATGTATGTGTTTGTTTTGTCAGTGTGTGATGGCATTGGGACGGGCAGTCTGGCAACGGCTCAAACTGTGGATGCCAGCAACATTGATAAATTCGTCAACTGCACCAAAATCAATGGCAACCTCATTTTTCTCATAACTGGCATCAAAGGGTAAGTGTTTGAGAAAAAGGTTTTACTACTGTTGCCAGATTCTTGCTCAAAGGGGAGAAATTGGTTCACTAACCAAGTGGACTAATCATGAACCAATGGTGAACTGATCGTGACAAAAGGTGAACTAAACATGAAGTGAGCTACTTTTGAACTAACATTGACTTAATCAATAATTAACATTGATCCAACTTTCAACTAACAAGGAAATCATCAAAATTAGTGGTAAAGGCCGGGATGACTAACTAATTGTGAATTGTGGGGAAATGGTGAACACATTAGGAATTATGCAGGAGTTAATCATGAAATAATGATGAAATAAAGCTGAAGTAAAAGGGAACTAATTGTGAATCAAGTATAAACTAATAGTAAAATGACCATGAACTAACAGTTAAACAATGGTAACTAATTATAAATTTGCAGTGAACTAGTTGTAAAACTAATGTTAAACTAATCATGAAGTACGAGTTAGCATGAATGAATGTTAAATTGGTGAAATATGTGTGACTTAAGTATGTACTATGCCACAAGTGAACTCATCATGAATTGGGCAATAAATCAAAAATGTATCATTATTTACATTTCTGACTCTAACAGATATCATTTTTAGCATGTCAATAAATTTGGTAATAAAAAACAAGACAAAATGTGTGTAAGATGGTAACATTAATGTCCCTTTTAAGCTTAATGATAGGAGATATGTGATGTTAGCAACCTAAATGACCCCCCCCCCCCCCCCACCACCACCACCACCACCACCACCTTTTTTTTATTATTATTAGGGAAGACCCCACATATATTGGTATTGGTTCATATTGGTATCAGAAATTAGGAGTTAGGTAACATTGAATATTGGCACACAAAAAAAAGCCAATAATGATCACCTCTACTAAAATTGCAGCCAATAACACAATTCAGACCAAAAGTAACAATTGGACCATCCAGCTCTTGGTTTCGTCGAACCCCTGCACTTCAACACTTCCCTTGGTCTTCCATTCATAACGCACTAGTGTACTTAGCAACTGAACACCACTGTTGTGAGAGGTTCTCTGCTCAATTAGATCAGAGAAGGAGAAACAGCTGGCTGCTACCACTTCAACTTAATGACTCCCAGAGTCCCAAAAAGAAACACAACATTTGAAGTCAAGGACAATAATAGGCATTTGGACCTAGAAAAAACCACTGGTGTTTAGTGCTCTCTGGCTGACTGTGGCAATGTTGGTTCTGGTATCTGATGGATGTGGTCTAGGGATGATAGCCCACAAAAGGGGGGAGAGTTCTGTGACCATAAGCTAGCTTGTTTAGCATATTTGCCATTGCAGCTTTAATTGGTTGTGTTATCAGTAGTGAAACATTGTCTGACTAATTCTTTGCCAGTTGTGGTCTAATAGTGGATTAATAGTGAGCCCATTATGAACTATTTTGCTTTAAAGTCATATTATAAGAAAGTCATTGATTTGTCTCTCATTTACTTAGTGAATTCACTAAGTGAATGAATTCCCTGTGAAATGAAAAGTTGCTTCTCTTTATTTTTAGAAGTTAGTCCACATTCTAGCACTGTAAAATCTGAAACTTTTGTTTTGTTTTGATTTTCTAAGGGACATGTATCATGGCATCGGACCTATGGACCCTGAGCATCTGAATGTTTTCCGCACTGTGAAGGAAATCACAGGTAAGATTTTTCCCTCAGTGTAACCCTTGGAATCACTGATTAAACAAAACTGTGTTAGTGCGGACGCTTGTGTGTGTGTGTGTGTGTGTGTGTGTGTGTGTGTGTGTGTGTGTGTGTGTGTGTGTGTGTGTGTGTGTGTGTTTGTGTGTGTGTGTGTGTTATTTGGCTTCTGGGGCTGTAAAAGAAAGTAGGGAACTCCTAAATGTGCTCTATTAGATGCATTACTCTAAACATGCATTGCATTCGGCGTTCGTGTTTATTCTTTTGCTATTAGAGGCCTTAAGGGATGAGCGAAACCTTGTATACAAAGCCTTTTGTCATATTAAACTGCTACTTGCCGTTGAGCCAAACAACTAATGGAGTGAAGCTGCATTTTCATAATGAAAACCCGAGCATTAAGGAAGAGCAATGGCTGCTCCGTCCCAGCCAATTCCTGCTCGATCCCTTTTAATGTCATTTCCACAGCTGCTGATTTGATATAATCTGTCATTAAAGGCAAGTGCAACCAGACAAATTGAGAGAATATTAAATCCATTCATTTAATTAGTGTATGCTGTCGTCTCCCTTTGCATTTCCAGCAAAGAATGGAGCTTTCACATGAAATGCATGGAAGCTGTGCATCTCTCTACTCAACTATTAGTTTTTATACTTTCAATATATGCTCATGACTTCCTGAGCCCCTTGTTTTACACTCTAATGACACATGTCCATTCTTCAAGATAATCTGGTAATAGTATTCTGAGTTTTGCATGTGGTACTGCTGATGTTGGTTTGATTGTGAATGAGTGTAGGAGGGAGATGGTGAAACTTGTTGGCTGACGTATGTTAAACAATCTAGGCATCAATGTGGTAAAGATGAAGAAAATGGTTTTAGGCACTTACATCTCATGTTCCATGAGCTGCAAACAGCCAACGTAACTACAAAGACCATGACAAAAGGCTGGTCTGATTGCTTTTCATCTCAGCTGTATGTGGTGGAGAGTGTTTGGACACTTTCAGTAAAAGTCTGGGATGGGAACTTTCCTGGGTCTAACAATACTCAACAGAAAGTGGTTAGCTATGCTCCAAAACTGAGCTTCCCTTCTCCAGTGCAGCACTTCCTAAATTTTGAATCAGGACCTTACTTTGGGTTGGGAAACACTAAGATTGAAAGTCTTAAGATGTTCTCCAAAAATAAAATCTACAAAAACTATGGCAGCACGGAAGCTATGGCAGAATTTAAAGTAAGAGGATAGGAACTTGGGAGTCTTGAGTTTTGGCTCTCAGTTGGGAAGGGTGGATTGTCTGTTCCAGGTTGGGGGAGAATTTCTACAGTAAGTGTAGGAGTTTAGGCAAGAGAGCTAACTAGATTGTGTGAGGCCCCCAGATTTATTGGTCAGTCTACATTCCACCCTTCACCGATGGCCATGCATTTTACGTTTTCTGTGCAGGTTGACCAAGTTCAGAATGTAAGAAAGACCAAGGCGCTCAGACATTCTGGAGGGATTCATAGTCACTCTACTGATTCTCCACATTGAGAGAAGCCATTTGAGGTGGTTCAGGCATTTGTTTATGATGGTTGTCTTCCGGGGTAGTTGTTTTGGGCATGTCCAGGAGGAGGTACGTGGGTCTACCCAGGAAATGCTGTAGTGATTATATTTCTAAACTGATTTGGAAACGTCTTGGGGTCTCAAAGTAGGAGCCTCTCGCTGGGGAGAGGACAGTCTAGGTTTCTCAGCTAGAGCTGCTGCTTATGTGACCCAGACCTAGAGAATTGCTATTGCGTGTGTCAGATGAGAAACGGTTGGGTAACCACAATCATTGCTTCCCAAAGCTGAGCCATGAAGGAACGTTTGAGAGGTTTTACATAAAAAGTTTAAAGATGACGGACAATGACGCATTTAGCTAACCAGACAAGCCATCCTTATGTGAGTGTGTAGTCTAGCCACGACCCAGAGACAGCTCTTAATCGTGTGGCGGAATCTACAGTTGTCTTGCAAACTGTCTTCACGTTCTATTGGACAACGAACAACGTGATGTACTCACCGCTACAGATTTCAGTCAACAGGACAGTCTGCCATGAACTGTTGAAGAAGACACAAATACATCTTTTTTTTCCTAAATAAAGGGTTAAAGTACCTCTATCTGCTGTTGACTCAAAGAAAAGCCCAGGTCTAAATTGTCTAAAGTTGATGCCAAAGTCATTTCAAAGAAGTAATCACCATCTTTGTTTTTGTCCCAGTCGCAGTAACACCCTGCCTACTAACCCAATAGAGAACTGTGATTGGCAAGACACAAGACTAGTCAGACCTGCTGAGGTACTAATGGAGCATGGCTAGCCCAACCTGCGAAGCAAAATAATTTGTCTACGGAAAAGTTTTGGAACCACTTCAGAGAACGTAGTGATGGACTCCTTCCATCCATCCCATTTACTGTTCATTCATACTCCATGCGAAGATTGAGCATCCTGGAAATTTAGAGGAGCAAAGCTGGGGAGCAACTTGTTCATTGAGGCTGAGGCAATGAATGAATGACTTGCACCTTTATGGAAATTACCTTTTAATTTTCTTGTCTGTCCTCAAAGCCTTCGTTTCCTTTGACGTGTTTCTAGGTTTCCTGAACATCCAGTCTTGGCCTGAAAACATGACAGATCTGAGAGTCTTTTCCAATCTGGCAACCATTGGAGGCAGAACTCTTTACAGGTATTAGAAAGAGCACTTAATCAGAAGCACGTCAATCCATGGATAATGAAAGAAATAAATGGAAGTGATGAGGATTCCTGAACAAAAGCATTACTCAATGTCCATTAGGTGAACAAAATGGTTGTGTCATGTGAAATCTTTTGTGTCTGACTTCAAATTTAATTTCAATTATTAAAATTGTTTACATTATATATGACAGACGTTTCCAGCTTTGTTCAGTCACCACTGTCTCACTGTGCTGACTGTCAGTTCAGCTTTAAACCAAAGCTCTTTCAAGCGCAGCTGTCGCTCAGCTTTGATTAGTTTGATAGTCAGTTCCAGAGTCACTTGCAAGGGGCAAACACAAGTCATGATGAAGGCACAATAGGTTCAGCCTTGTTTTTTTTTCTCACAAGTAACAAATATATGGCTGCAACTGAATCTGACTTCTTTATCATTTCATACTTTTGTCACAAATTGCTACTTTTACCTTGTTATGCTCCATTGTAAGGTGTTCTTTGTCTTTCTTTCTTCCAATGTATCTCCTTTTGCAGTGGAAGTGGTATTTCTTTGTTGATTCTGAAGCAGCGCTGGATTTCCTCCCTCCAATTCCAGTCCCTGAATGAGATCAGCGCCGGAAATATCTACATCTCTAATAACAGCCGCCTCTGCTTCTACAACACCCTGAACTGGACATCACTCTTCAGGACCTCAAACCAAAAGGTCATCATTCGCAACAACCGTGATCCAAAAGAATGCGGTAAGTATTGGATAGATTTTTTTGTCCTTTTATTTTACATCTCTCAAAGCAATACCAATTTGTTTACTGACATGTAATGGTTTTCATTTTCCTGCTTTTAATCGTTGGGGTTTGATCGCGACCTAACCACCCCAAAGATTCTGGGTACTTTCAATGTAATGCGTATTTGGATGAGCAGTGAAGAAAGGGAGCCTTAACGCAGCCAAGACTCTCTCGATGAAAATTGGCCACTTTGACGTTCCTGAGTAAACCATTTCACGCTGTTGATGCTTCCAGTGTGAAACCGGGGTTTGTCATTCACACAAACATTCAGATGCTGGTGATGATGACCTACAACATAGCCACAGATGCCTTAGGTGCACTGAAAGAAGCAATACATCCAAGCACTGGTGTCACTGTTCCCTCTGATTACCACCAGCAACTGTATTGTCCAAAGAAACAACAGCAACATTCTATGGTTGGAGCTGGGATCAAACCTACAACCTTTCAATTACTGGACAACCCACTCTACCTCCTGAGCTACAGCTGTTCCGTGTGTCTTTGGCAGGGGCGTAGCACCAAATTCTGGGCCCTAGGTACAAGTCTTCAAGGTGGGCCCCCATGCTCAATTACTTAATATCTCTCTTACACATTTTTTGTCATGCTATAAGACAAGATAATAAATATGATCTTAGTTTAACCTCTATATTGAGCAAACACAAATGCCAGCATAATAAAAGTGAAATGCCCAGACTTCACATATAATTATTTTGATTTGCCAACAATGTGTTCAAACAAAAATCCTGGAATTTATTTTCCAGTAAATGCCCACTGATGGGTCTTCATGTTAGCAAAATCACTTATGAAATCTTTAAAGTCCAATCCTTTGGCTAATTGGCTTTCAATAGAAAGAAGAGCTAGGCTGTTCAGTCTATCCTGGGACATTGTTGATCTCAAATAATTTTTCACCAGTTTCAGTTTGCTAAAAGCCCGTTCACCCCCAGCAACAGTCACAGGTAGTGTGCAAAATATCCTCAGTCCAATTCAAACTTCTCCAAAAATGCTCTGTAATTGCATCCTGTATGGAATTAAGCAGCTCAAGAGGAGACTGAATGTGTGGAAATGTGGCACCATATATTGTTCTCAGGTGTAGCATCTCATTCTCAAATTCAGCTGTGAGATCCTTGTAATATTTTCTCATCAGTGCCTGGCATGATATCTTCATCTGCTCTTAAGTCATGCCTGTCATAGTTCATGATGTTAAGCTTTGCTGATATGTATTGATATATTAAATACATATGACATGAAATAAACCAGGTTCTCTCTGTGAATATAATGTACTCTAAATTTTATAATCCCTGCATTATCAGCCAAATTATAAGATTGTCCGTTTTCAAGATCAAATATAAAGAAATTTAAAATAGGCTTAAAATATCTAACCAAGTCAATAACAATCCTCTAACACCAGTGTCATCATGCTATACGAAAAACAGTGGTAGCTTCACATTCCTGAGATTACCACAAATCTATCAATACCAAGTTTGTCCTGGTCCATGACTGGGAAGGAGCTGAAATATCCACACAGAGTGAACCTGTTTTTACTGCGAGGTCCGCGAATTAATTGGCGGCGGCCGCCCGCGATAATAATTCTGATTAATATATATATATTAATTAGTGTTTTCACTGATAACACTAATTAATTTATGTTTGATCTTGATGGTGAAAATAATGGTGTTTAACACTGAACACCTAACATGAATGCAGCTTAGAGCTAGCTAATATTAGCAAAAACTGTGTTCTGCTGCTGCTGCTCACCGTCCTTCTTGAAAAACCTAGTCAATACTTGCTTCTGTTCAATTAACTTTTTCTCCTTCTTTTCTTTTCTTTTCTGGAAGCCAGATTTCCCTTTCTTGGGAAAAGACATGACTGACTCTCCTGCCTCCAGCTCTGGCTGTCGGCATCTGCGATGTCTCATAGCTGTACATGCGGCCGTGCAGACCCTGGCCGCTGGTGTGGACTAAACCACTTTGCACATTTTTAAGGGGTGATAGATGCCTCAGAGATTATTCAGTTATTATTTTTAAGGTGAAATTCTGTTTCTTACCCTCTTTATCCAGGTAAAGGGAAGTTTATTAAGACATTAAGTAAGTTGGGGGGGAAAACAACAACAATAAAACATTTTTATTCAAAGCTGTCTCCGGGCCCCTCCATGCAGTGGGCCCTGGGTAAACGGTACCCTTTCCCCCCCCAGTCCGACGCCCCTGGTCTTTGGGCAAGACACTTCCCCCTCCTTGCCTGTTGGTGGTGATCAGAGTGGCACCTTTGTTCGGCAACCTCGCTTTCGTCAGTGCGCCCCAGGGTGGTTGTGGCTACACTGTAGCTCATCATCATCAGTGAGTAAATGGTTGGGTGAACGAATGGGTGCGTTGTAAAGCACTATTAGAGGGTTGCAGAACCCTAGGAGGCACTATATAAATACGAGCCATTTACCATTTACCCTGGTTTTGGGAACTGGCTTTTAAGATTCTCATTCTGCAGCGAGACTAAATAAGACTAAAACTAAATGTCTGTAAATGATCAGAAATTTCTGCAGCATTTGCGATCTGTGGGGAACCTTTTAGGGGCGTAACACTTCCTATTTTCCTTCAGTCAATAGAAAAACATAACTTTATTGTCTTTAGGATGTGCTTTTGGTTAAAAAAAACTGACAACATTTTCAGGAAGGACTGCTAAATAAAACTAAGTGGCATTAGTATAGCAAAAGCTAATTTAGACCATGCTGTTTAATCACATATCATTTGGGACCAAACACACGACCTTGTGCAACTCCACAGCAGATTAAGTTTTTTATGTGACCAACTTAAAATATGTACGTCATCGTTGTCTTCCTCCTCTTATCCGGGTCCGGGTCGCGGGGGCAGCATCCCAACTAGGGGGCTCCAGACCGTCCTCTCCCCGGCCACCTCCACCAGCTCCTCCGGCAGGACCCCAAGGCGTTCCCGGACCAGATTGGAGATGTAACCTCTCCAACGTGTCCTGGGTCGACCCGGGGGCCTCCTGCCGGCAGGACATGCCCGAAACACCTCCCCGGGAAGGCGTCCAAGAGGCATCCTAACCAGATGCCCAAACCACCTAAACTGGCTCCTTTCGATCCGGAGGAGCAGCGGTTCTACTCCGAGTCCCTCCCGAATGTCCAAGCTCCTCACCCTATCTCTAAGGCCGAGCTCGGCCACCCTATGGAGGAAACTCATTTCGGCTGCTTGTATCCGCGATCTCGTTCTTTCGGTCATTACCCAAAGCTCATGACCATAGGTGAGGATTGGGACGTAGATCGACCGGTAAATCGAGAGCCTGGCTTTCTGCTCCCTCTTCACCACAACAGATCGGCTCAGCGTCTGCATCACTGCAGAGGCTGAACCAATCCGCCTGTCGATCTCCCGATCCCTCCTACCCTCACTCGTGAACAAGACCCCGAGATACAGTCCTCCACATGAGGTAGGACTTCTCCCCTGACCCGGAGTTGGCAAGCCACCCTTTTCCGGTTGAGAACCATGGTCTCAGATTTGGAGGTGCTGATCCTCATCCCAGCCGCTTCACACTCAGCTGCGAACCTACCCAGCAAGAGCTGAAGGTCAGAGCTGGATGAAGCTAGCAGGACCACATCATCTGCAAAAAGCAGAGATGAGATTCTCCTGCCACCAAACTCGACACACTCCACACCACGGCTGCGCCTAGAAATTCTGTCCATAAAGGTAATGAACAGAACCGGTGACGCTGTCCACCCAATAGTGCACACCCTAAAGTTACAGCATTGTCAACATGATAACCAATTTAAGTGGGAGTAAAGTTAAAGCCGCTTCCATGTTTTATTTACACATATTGTTAAAAAAAGATTTAGTTCTGGATTGCTGCATATAAATACCAACAGTGATCATCTTCCCCTCACATATCCTGCAGTCATTTGTAAATTTAAAACTGAATATTAATAATATTTCCATAACTACGACAATCATGCATAAAATATCACTATACTTGACATTCAGGATAAAAAAGACAGAAAATAACTAGAAAATGGTCTTGTTAGCAGCAGCGTGGACGATAGGGATGTTACATTTGCTGTGGTAACATTTCTTATGGTTATTAATATTTTAATTCATAATGCACCATTTAATTCATCTTTATTGATTATTCTGATCGAAATAAGGTCTTTTCAAGCAAGCCCAACCACGTTTGTCATCTTGACAGCATCAAGTAGCAACAAATTGAGACATATGCCAATGTTTAAGCTCCAGGATGGCTGATCATATTCTTTGTACTTCTTCTATCTGCAAACACAGACTAATTAAATGCAAATTTGGACATTTAAGTCAAAGTTTTAGTTTGATCTGTTTAAAAAAAACTCATTTACTTGTGAAAAATGCATCCATGAGTCTGAGCTGAAACTTTAATCTACACACAGATACATTTCCTGTTTTAACTACACTGGCAACCAAACATCTATTACTCAGCCATGCTTCCTTTTCTTGCCTCATAATTAATTCCAAACTTTGATTCTTTTCATATCTCTGTAAATCCAGCTCTGCCCCAGCCATACTCACCCACATGCCCGTTTCCACGGCAACAGTATCACGTTCATCTCTCACAGCTTGGCCACGAAAGCCCTTATTCAGCTCCCTTGTGACATGAATGCACTGAGGTGGGTTAAAACCACAGCCAGGGCTGAAACTGCAGACCAGATGGAACAATGAATTGTCCAATTCCAAAATCTATTTTATGGCGCTGTTGTTCATGTCGCTAACTCGATTTGCAGGGTTTGTTCTACTTTGACAACGTGTCGTGTGTGTTTTCCAGTGCAGCTTGCCGCAGCAGGAGTTGCCAGAGTTGTTCTTGGATTTTCTACACTGTGGTTGATGTCATTAGCTGGTTAATGAGCACAAGCTGTGTGTGTGTGTGTGTGTGTGTGTGTGTGTGTGTGTGTGTGTGTGTGTGTGTGTGTGTGTGTGTGTGTGTGTGTGTGTGTGTGTGTGTGTGTGTGTGTGTGTGTGTGTGGTTAGAGATCGATCAATGGGAGCTAATACGAGCCTCTTCATTAGGCTCAACCTGTCCACCATTGACTGCTCTGCTGTTGACAGAGGTGTCTGGCCCCCACCAGGCAACACTCCCAGAGATACGTGTGTGTCACTCACCGGATGGGGCAGGACAGCGAGTCTGACGAACAGCATTGATTGTTGTGGTTCAACTGGGAAATAGTGGGCTGAGGTTCTGGTTTGGTTTCTTTCTGTAAAGCTGCTATCATACGTTTTCACCCTTTCAGGAATTATGCATGATTTTTCAGGAATACAAAGAGTGATTGTTTTATTGTGTACTGTCTGATATAATGTAGACTGGTTGGGCAAATTACCACGCACCCTCCATGATCCCCCTAAGGGTATAGAGCTGGTCCAATGTTCCATGGCAGGACAAAAACCACTTTGATCCTCCTGAATCTGAGGTTCAACAATCTGACGGACCCTCCTCTCCAGAACCCCTGAATAGACCTTGACAGGAAGGCTTAGGAGTGTGATCCCCCTGAAGTTGGAACACACCCTGCGGTCCCCCTTTTTAAATAAGGGGACCACCACCCGGTCTGCCAGTCCAGTGGGACTGCCCCCGATATCTGCGCGATAATGCAGAGCTGCGTCAGCCAACACATCCCCACAACATCCAGAGCCTTAAGGAACTCTGGGTGGATCTCATCCACCCCTGGAGCCTTACCACAGAGGAGCTTGTAAACCACCTCAGTGACCTCAGCACCAGAAATTTGAGAGGCCAACCCAAAGTCCCCAGACTCTGCTTCGTCAGTGGAAGATGTGTCGGTGGGATTGAGGAGGTCTTCGAAGTATTCTGCTCACCGATCCACAACGTCCTGAGTAGCAGTCAGCAGCACACCGTCCCACTATAGATAGTGTTGGTAGCACACTCCCCCCCCCCACCCACCCCCACCCCCCATACGGAAGTCTTGCTCCATGGTCTCATCGAACTCCTCCCATGCCTTGTTTTTTGCCTTGGCGACTACCTAAGCTGCGTTCCGCTTGGACTGCCGGTACCCGTCAGCTGCCTCTGGAGTCCCACAGGCCAAAAAGACCTGATAGGACTCTTTCTTCAGCTTGACTGCATCCCTAACCGCCAGTGTCCACCAGCGTGTTTGGGGTTTGCCACCACGACAGGCATTGACGATCCTGTGACCACAGCTCCGGTCGGCCGCCTCAACAATGAAGGCATGGAACAGGGTCCATTCAGACTCAGTTGACAGCTTTGCCCCTCTCTTCACCCGAGTGTCCAAGACTTGCGGCCGCAGGTCAGATGAAACAACAACAAAGTCGATCATCAAGCTGCGGCCTAAGGTATCCTGGTGCCAAGAGCACATATGGACACCTTTATGTCTGAACATGGTGTTCATTATGGACAATCCATGACTGGCACAGAAGTCCAATAACAAAACACCACTCTAATTCAGATCTGGGGGGCCATTCCTCCAAACCACACTTCTCCAGGTCTCACTGTTGTTGCCCACGTGAGCGTTTAAGTCCCCCAGCAGAACGAGGGAGTCACCGGAAGGAGCACTTTCCAGCACCCCCTCCAAGGTCTCCAAAAAGGGTGGGTAGTCCGAACTGTAGTTTGGTGCATAAGCACAGACCACAGTCAGAACCCGTCCCTCCACACGTAGGCGGAGGGAGGCTACCTTCTCATTCACTCGGGTAAACCCCAACATACAGGCACCAAGATGGAGGGCAACTAGTATGCCCACCCCTGTTCGGGGCCTCTCAGTGGGAGCATCTCCAGAGTGGTAGAAAGTCCAACCCCTCTCAAGGAAACTGGCTATAACTCCACTTATTCCTCCTGTTATGACTTTAAAACATTAGTTCTCTTTTTTCTTTTCACAGTTCAGCAGAGGATGGTCTGTGATCGCATGTGTTCGGATGAAGGATGTTGGGGTCCAGGTCCAGATCAGTGTCTCTCCTGCAGATATTTCAAAAGAGGCCGCACCTGTGTTGAGTCCTGCAACCTCTTTGACGGGTGAGAAGTCACATTTTCGCAGAGCCGAGAAGAATCTTCAATCATACCTGTGAAAACTCTGAATGTCTGATCATTTGGTTTCAGGAAGAGGCAGTCATTCATCAGCAAACAGCGATATGTGACGAGCGGAGGGATTAAAATCATTTTAAACAGCATTAATGCGTGAGAATGAATTCAAAACGTCGTCGAGGGCTTTGAGGGAGAGGAGTCTAATTGCCGATTGGCATGAATGTAATGAGATGAGCCAATAAGGAATTTCACAGGGTGAACTGTCAAAGGAACATTTGGCGGCTTCTGTCGACAAAAATCAATTTAAATGCATCGCAGTTGAACTGTTAAATTAAAAGGAGTGAGCTAAAATGACATAACTGACCACCTGTGTTTAAGTCAAAAGCAAATGTGTTCAGGATATTATTTTATTCCTTTGATGTAAACACACTTGTGAAGACAGATGAAGACATGTGGGACAGTGTCATGGCACCTTGATGGCAGTTTTCACCCATGTGCTTTTGACCAGTCAGCAGTCGGGTGGCACCAGGTCCTTATGCCAAGTGGCACTCAAAAAAATCACTACCGAGTTACCTGGGGAGGACAACTGCTGAGTATCTCAAGTATAAATCTTGAATGAACGAGACAATGTTGTGCATCAGATCACTTGAAGAAATCCGTCTAAAATAACCGGTGAAATCTGGCTTTCCCCATGAGCAATCTGCAATGTCAAGCCTGTGTTTCCCCTCCGTGAGGAGGAGAAGAGCGCACGTGTGGGAGCGAGAGAGGGTGTACGAGAACATGCAACCCTCTGTCATGTTGACTTGTTGCTCGTGCTTTCTGTTGCCATTTGTGGGAGGGAGGCTTTGAAGTCGCTGGCAAACACAGCTCACAGCGAAGGCTTTGAAGAGGTGGAAGGAGGAGAGGCTCGTGGCAGGGAGCGTCTGAAGCACACTTGTTTCCTTTACTGTAAATACAGTCTGTGTGTGTGGGGGTGGGGGGGGGGTGGGGGGGGGGGGGAAATTGGCATATTTAGCAGAGCCACATGTTGCTTCAGCAGGTTCATCTGTTGAAAGACCAAGAAGCCCCTGGAAACAGTGCTTCAGAAAAGACATTTCAGAAATGAATGGTTTTATTTTCTGAGATGGAGAACTGAAACCGCAGAGCATCGAAGGTATTAGTTCATATCTCACTTGTGCTTTCGCTAATTCAGATTTTCCCTGCAGCAGAATCCAAACCTAAGTTTTGCCCTTTCTTTTGCACACACAAAATCTGAGACAACGTGATATGATGTGATCTGAAATGATACAGAAAGATGTTTCACAATATGATACCAACTAGGGGTGTAACGGTACACTAAAGTCGTACTCGGTTCGGTCCAGTGTTATGAAAAGCTCGGTTCGATTAATTTTCAATTAATTTAACATCAGAATTGGCTGCTGATCTAACATGATGTATTTAATTATTTCACAGGTTATTTGTGCAGCTATGGGTGTCACGCTCATACAGACAAGGGCTGCAACTAACGACTATTTTAATAGTCGACTAGTCACCGACTATTGAAACAATTAGTCGACTAATCAGATAATCATTACATTTTTCTTAAATTTAGCATGAGATTGCTTTAATTGTGTGAAAAATGATAATAAACACAAGAAAGATCAGTACTTCAATGGAAAATGCATATTTTATTGAACTTTGTTGCTGATAGGCCGATTCATGCTAAAAGTAAGTAAACATGCCCTGTCTAACACCAATTAGGCACAGTGCTCAGTCATTGCACTGTAGACATAAAATAATTAAAATACTTTTGTCAAGCAGTTGGGCAAAACATTAAATCTCTTTTTTGTTTAAGCAAAAATACGTTTAAAAAAATGTACAACGTACATCCGAAACAAAACGCATCAGGCTTTCGTGTCATTTAAATCTTACCGAGGTGAGTCAGACTGTTTCATTCAACTGTCCGACGTGCTTTCTCGTTAAGTGTTCATGCATCACCGAGGTGCTGCCGTGATACGCCAGGACTGCTTTGCAAATAATGCAGGTCATCTTTTTATTTGCCGAATCCAGGCTAGAGTGCTCCCAAATTTGAGATGTTTTGGTACGTGTAGCTGCTGCGTCGGACGCCGCCATTTCTGTTTGTTGGCGCTCAGCAGAGAAGCCATTGCGCATGTGCGACACCCAGCAGAGATTGTAATGAAGTGAGATGCCTCACTCGGTCAGAAAAAGCACGTCTGGTGACAACGTCGACTCATTGTCAACCATTTCTATTGTCGACATTTGTCGACAACGTCGACAAATCGTTGCAGCCCTAATACAGACAAGTGTTGTGTTTGACTGTTGATGCTCCATGTTTTTATTTCTGCTCACCTCACACCGCACAGAGCTTCTTCTTTAAAACTCGTATTAAATAACGAGCTTCATTGTAGGATGAAAACTTAACATCACTTGTCACGGGAAAAGTTCAGCAGACATGTTTATTAACGTTTTTGCTGCTGCGTGCTAGAACAGTGTGAGAGAAGAGGGGGAGGGGCAACCCTACGCTCCATTCAGCGTCTCTACAGGCTCCAGTAGCAGCGACAGCCAGATGGTTTGATCCGCTCTGAAAGGCGTTGATCAGAATTTGCAGATCACATTTTTGAAACGGCGATCGGGCGCATGCAGCCATCATGCGACACTCAATAGAGTGTCTGTGCGGAAACTTGCATAGGAGCTTTTATCCGCTGCACTTAAATCACGCAAATAAAAACGGAAAAAATTTACCGAAACGGTACGCAAGTGGACCGAACCGAACAGGCTGAACAGAAACGGTTCAACACTCCCCCTTGAACCAACACACCCAGAATACCAACACAGCATTGTATGTAATGGACATGCGATGTCAGAATCAGATTAAGAAGGCTTTATTGCCATTGGGCAGAAGTAGCACAACAGGCTGAGTGGGTGTTCCAGTAATCGGAAGGTTGCAGGTTCGATCCCGCCTCCGGACAGAGAATGCTGCTGTTGTGTCCTTGGGCAAGACACTTAACCCACGTTGCCTGCTGGTGGTGGTCAGAGGGACCGGCGGCGCCTGTGCTCGGCAGCCTCGCCTCTGTCTTTGTGCCCCAGGGGAGCTGTGGCTACATCGTAGCTCATCACCACCAGTGTGTGAATGTGTGTGTGAATGGGTGATTGATATACTGTGGTGTAAAGCACTTTGGAGTCCTTACTCTGAGAGGCGCTATACAAGTGCAGGTCATTTATCATTCATCATATGTACGAGAATCACAGCATTAGGAAATTGCTAATATAAAGTGGATGCTATATACAAGACAGTGTAGGTTCTGATCAGAGCGGATTAATCCAGGTACAAACACAACACCATGTCATGTGACTGGAACCAAGCGACTGGAGTGGGCAGCCCTAGGATGATTGTTCATAAGTCCAAAGGCAGACAGGAAGAAACTGTTGTGGATAGAGGTTCTGGTCCGAATGGATCAGAGCCTCATGCCAGATGGGAGCGAGTCAAAAAGACTGTGTCCAGGGTGACACCGGTCTGCTGTGATCCAACCTGCATGCCTCAGTATCCTGGAGGTGTACAGGTGCTGTATGGAGGGGAGTTTGCAGCCAATGATCTTCTTAGCAGAGCATACAACATGCTGCAGCTCCAGAATACCACACAGTGATTCAGGAGGTGAGGATGGTCTCGATGGCTGCGATGTACAACTGCCTCATCATCTGTACTGATAGGTTGAATTTCTTCAGCTGCCTCAGGACGTTCATCCTCTGCTGGGCCTTTTTTATGACGGAGGTGATGGTGGGTTCCACTTGAGGTCCTGGGTGATGGTGGTGACCAGGAAGCGATATGAGTCCACCATCTAGATGGGAGTGTCAAACAGGGCTATGGGAGGGAGGAGCGCTGTGCGCTTCCTAAAGTCCACGACAACCCCCGCTGCCTTCTGGGCATTTAGCACCAGGTTGTTGTGGCTGCACATGGACACCAGCCGTTCAACCTCCATTCTGTAGGCGGACTCATCCCCTCGGAGATGAGTCCAATGATGGCGGCGTCATCTGGAAAAGTAATAAGCTTCACAGACTCGTGGTTGGAGGTGCAGCCGTTGGTGTACAGGGAGAAGAGCAAAGGGGAGAGAACAGGTGCTGTTGGTCTGCAGATCAGAGACATTCTTCCCCAATCTCACTTACTACTTCCTGTCTGTCAGGAAGTGAGCGATCCACCTGCAGATGGGGTTAGGCATGTTCGTCTAAGACAGTCTTTCTTGGAGGAGGTCTGGCAGGATTGTGTTGAATGCAGAGTTAATGTCCACAAACAGTATCCTGGTGTAGGTACCCAGGGAGTCCAGATGCTGCAGGATGAAGTGTAGAGCCATGTTGATGGCATCATGTACAGACCTGTTGGCTCTGTAGGCAAACTGTTGGGGGACCAGGAGGGGGGCTGTGAGGGTCTTGAGGTGTGGGAGAACCAGGTGCTCAAATGACTTCATGACCACAGATGTCAGGGCCAAAGGTCTGTAGTTATTTACTCCAGTGATCCTTGGCTTCTTGGAGACAGGGTCTATGGTGGAGATCTTGAAGCAGGTAGGCACATGAGATGCCTCCAGTGAGGAGTTAAAAATGACGTAAACACTGGGGCCTGCTCATCAAAATAGTGATTTAGAGTGGCAGGAGATACACCATCACTCGACTGCACATCTTTTGACAGGAACTCACAAATCACAATACATTACCCCATCTGTGCAATACTGCCCCTTCTTAGAGTCTTCATTGTACTCCGCCAGCTTCTTCTGTGTGTGCCTATGACTTGTAGCCCCATGCAGAGGGGATTGTACTTTCAGGGTAGTGGCATTAAACTATGGAACAATTTACCATTGCACATTCAGGTGCTGTGACTTTTTATACTGTATGAGCTGTTGGCATTGGGACTTTTGTTTTTCACTGTATTTTATTTTTATAGGGTTTTAATTGGATTTTGGTGCTTACATTGTAGCACTTTGGCTAACTTAGTTGTATGTAAAGTTCATTATAAATAAAGTTGAGTTAAGTTGAGGATGTTAGAATTTATGATACATTATTACAATACAGTATATGGCACATTAAATGGTGCAATATTGGACTGCTTGGTGATGCAATTATCAGCATTATTGACTCATAGTGAGAATGTCCCAGCTGTGGCTTTTTTGCATGGAATTAGCATAATCTATCCATGCATGTTTGGGTTTTCCCCTGGTTTTCCGATTTCCTCCTGGAGCCAAAATTGTGCATGCTTGGTTTGGAGACTGTAAAGTCAGAGGAAAACTTGGTCCTAAAGTGCTGTTGTCCAGCATGTTTTTGTTTAGGGTGTACCCCGCTGCTTGCTTGGTGAGTGGTGGAGTTAGACATCAGCTCTCAGTTACCCTAATAAGGAAATGCTTGCTATGAATGAAATGAAATAAAATACATATTCCTACAAAATGTGACATTACATGATTTGATACAATACTATGCAACACAATACAATATGAAATAAGATTTAACACAAACATTAAACTGGACTGGACTGACTGTTATATACATTGGCATTATACGTACGTCACATAAATACATAAAAACATACAAAATATATTTAATTTAAATCATACAAAAAAAATGTATGATTTAAATTAGATATGATTAGATTAGTTTTCTTGATGGTTGCTTTGTCTTCAATCTAATTTCCTGAAGGTTTCAATCCTCATATGGATTTGAAAATCAAAATGTATGAGTCAAGGTCAACGACCAATGGAGAGTTAGGAACTTTACCGTTTATTCTTTTTGTTGTTCAGAAATGTAGTAAAATCTTTACCACATAGACACTTTTCTGGTGGTATGATGTAGTCATAACCAATGGAATGGGCTTTTCCATTGACCAAAAATAGACTAAGTGGAGTAAATGTTGTCATCAGTTCTAATACTGTGGAGATTAATTAAAGGTAGCAAAATCGCCATAATCTAATGTGAAAGGGTTGGTTTTGGGTCAGTATTGTCTGGTCAGCACTAGTAAATATTCAATGTGATTGGTTATTAATTAACATTAAATAAGTGGCAGTGTAGCTATTACCTTTAATCTCTTAAAATGAATAAAATGATGCCCAGTTGTTGAAAAAAATTGGCGGCTTTGTAACATATTACCATAAAAATCAGTTCTAGCATCTTTGTGGGATGCCATATTAGATGCCATGTTTTCTTCTGGCTGGCTTGGGGTCCTGCGTCTGTTAATGACGTCACTAGAAGATTGGCTGGATATACGACTTGATGACATTACCACATTTGAAAACATGTAGGTTGCAAGAAACATGAGTTAAAAAAAAAAATAATTTATATATATATATATATATATATATATATATATATATATATATATATATATATACTGCTAAACTCTTTCTAAAACATATGTTAAAGAACAGAACCAAAAAAGAGACGCAAACTGTTTTGGTCGAGAGGTATTGCCGTAGTGTGATGACCATCAAAGTCTGAGGAGTCGCGCCAAGGTCGCCTGCTTTCTGCTCCACAGGTAACAACATTTATCGTAATGAGTTTTTAAGTCAGCAACAGTCACTGTGATATAGTGTAAAACTACCCTGAATTGCACGTACTGCCCCTAGCGGCAAGAAACTACACACTGCCACTTTGAAGTTTTACACAAATATTAGTTTAAATCGATTAGTGTAAAAGAAATCAACACAAAAAAATTGTAACACTTTACAATAAGGGTCCTTTTCTTAACACTACTTTGTGTATTATTAAGCATTATTAAATTATTAAATAAAGTATTAAAAAAACTGAAAACCATATTAAATAATGCATCACCAAGCAGAATACCCCCCCCCCCATTCCACCACCACCACCCTTTGAGCTAACCTTAAGGACACTTAGTTAACGACATTGTAATTAAAAGAATCTTTGTCTATTAATGAGTAATAATGCGCAAGTAGCATTTATAAAGTGATCATTCTTCTAACGTGTTACCCAAAATTATAGCAAAACATCAAAAATTGGGTAACACTTTCTTTTACAGTCCCTTAATTACTAAGTAATTATATAGTACGTTAAAGTATATTATCGTGTAATTAAAGTGTATAATTGTCATAAAGTGTAATTATTGTGTAAAGCAGTATATACCGGGAATGATTAATCAAAATAAAAACTAGAAATGAATTTTAGTTACATGGTAATAACTGTTTAAGAAGTCAGAAATGATATTACACTTTAACTTACTGTGTAATTACCATGTAAGTACTAAGTAATTAGGGGACTGTAAAAGGAAGCATTACCAAAATTTGTTTTCATGGCAAATACTTTTACTCAAAATGATGGAGTTAAACAAACTAAATAATTTAATGTATTTGGGCTTTACTTGTGTTTCTCAAAGGTACGATAATTGTATCATCTGCATAAAAGTAGATCTTAGATTGTTTGCTTGATTTTTTTTTCGCCTCCATTTGGCTTTTTTAATGGTTTTTTTCTTGGACATTGCTACAGTCTGTTGAATTTACTGCATTCACTACAGATCTGTGTAATATTTTACTTTGTTCTGGAGCTGTAGAAGTCTTTATCTCTAAAGAATTTTGTGCTAGCTCATTAAAAATGTTTTCAAGTTGGTGATTTTAAACCTTAAGATTCCTCAACTCGCTCTTGTTCTACGTATCCATTCTTAATGAGGAAAAGCACTAATTCCCTTTAGTTCATAAGTCTGTTGAATAAAACAAAGGAAGCGCAGAGGCGTGCGAGAGGAGAAAAGAAAAAGACGAGATGGTGTCCACTGGGGTTAGAGAAGGAGGGAGGGTTTGGCTAAAGGGAGGCACTGAAAGTGGTTAATTAAAAAAGTTGCTCTGGTGGGTTGGCCATGCTCTGGTTTTTTGGATGTTTTAAGGTCTGAATGGTTGGCCACAGTCCTGCTTAAATTCCTGCTAAAGCAGGGATAATCCCCCACATCAGGTCATCCCCCAATGGGGACTCGGCGTACACTTTCAGCCGTGAAGAGGGCCAATCGGGAGGAACGGCTTTGACAGAATGGAAATGACCCTAGAGAGCACCGTTGCAGTGGTCTTTGTCTCCGCCATGCCCCCACCCTCAACACACAAAGGGACATCTCTTCACTGCCTGGGCTTTTTCCGAAGCATTCCACTGGACAGAGCTTCTGGACATGAATCTTAATTCACTTTAGGACAAAGGAACAGGACTTTAAAAAACAATCGATGGTTTTTTTTTATAACTGGGCTTGTATGGTAAATCACAGGAAACAGTCATAACATAAAAATTCAGGAAAAACATAGCTTTATCACCCTTTAGCGTGACCACTTGTCTTGTTTTTATACGCTTCTCAAGCCACTAAAACTATATGATTTTTATTCCATACCCCCCCCCCCCCCCCCACATGAAAATCCATCAAAATAATCCTCAAACACCCTGAGGAGATGTGAAGTTCTCAGTGCTAGATCATATAAAAACCAGCTCACAATCTGTTGACTCTTTATTCTACTCCAACAGCATTAGAAATAAACACAACCAAACCAAACGAGCACAGAGTTATTCTCATTATCCCATCGTTCATAGAACAAAAGGTTTTGTTTGTAACCGGGTGAATCCTCCCCTGAGGACGTCCGTCCTCTGACGATCGATCCTTCTGATGTGGAAAGTGTTTTTGATCAGCAGTCGTTGCTGTTGACAGCGAGCGTCTGTCACCCGCCAGAGACACCTTACATCAATAGTAAAGATAATTCACTGATTCAGGCCCCCCAAAAGGAGGAAATATAAGGCTGGGGTGCATGCACTCTCACAGACACATGGAATGGTTGATAATTTCGGCCTGAGGCGATACACAACTCCAGCCACTGTAATTGCAGTGTATGCACCCGGTATCGAGCTCTATTGTTTACTGTCTGTTCTTTAGATGTTCCGAGTAAGAAAGCAAAGAGAAACTGCATTGCTTTAACTAGCTCAACAAATAGGCTGGTGCACCAACTATTTGCAGAAACTGCAATGATCCTTTAATAACAGGCAGAAAATTCTGCAATGCTTCCTTTTTGTTTGGCTTCTACAAAATTTGAGGTCATGGATAGAATGTAGAATGCTGCTTTTGGCTCAGAGTGCTTCCCTGCGTTTAGATGCACATCAGAAAACCGAACTGTTGCCCTAAATAGATTGATGATGGTTTATTTTTAATTTTTGGGGGGGTTATGCAAGTAAAGGTGTTAGTCTTGCTAAAGGCAAACTTGTTCTAATCGTGCTTAACCAATACATAGATATGACTTTGCATATCTATAATTGCAGCAAAGTTTTGGTTTGAACATTACCAGACGTTTTACTCTGAAGCCATGTGTGATTTCCTATAGCCCTATGTTAACTGCAGATATTGAAGTGCCCCAGAAGTGGCTCGCAGAAAAAAATAGAACTCGATCCTGTCTGTATTGGAGTGGCATGGAGCTAGGCAGCGACATTCCGCTGCCATTCCGCCCTGTTGATGCCTCCAGTGTGAACTAGGGGTCAGGATCGTGACCAAATGAATTGGATAAAAATGCGTAGCTGCTCCTCCTCACTGTAAGTAAGAAGTGGTTTGAGCATCAGATTGGGATGCCTCAATAGCTTCTTTCTAGAGGTCATCTTGGCACCAAAGGGTGGACACAGAACTCACTAGGAGGCACAAGATTCCTTCCTGAATGTTCCACGTGTCAACAACCCTGACCTTAGACAACTGGAAAAGTGGAAAGCTTATTGACTCATCCTTGTTCTGTTTGTTCACTTTAACTCCATCTGAAGTGAACCTCCTTTCCAACAAACCTCCTCATGTTTGCTATAAAACAGTTTACTTTTCATGAACGTTCTCTGTGAACCTTTAGGTTGACCCAATCATTTGAGTGCAGACGGCAGAGTTTAACTTGTGCTTACAGTTAATGCTGAATGCATCTGAATCAAGCGGCAGGATTCTGTTGGTCAATATTTCAGTGTGAGTACACACTCAGATCTATAATCCATGTGTTCTCGATCAGGGAAGTGCGGGAATTTGCCAATGGATCCGTGTGCCTGGAGTGCGATGGCCAGTGTGAGAAGATGGACGAAAACAGCATGACGTGTCTCGGCCCGGTAAGATCTTCCTGATTCTGCCTCAAATGAACTCAATTTTCCTTTTTAAAAAAACATGAATGCTGAAACTGAATTGCAGATTAGAACAACCCCTTTATATTTTTTCCCCTTGCAAGATAGCCTCATATCTTTAGTGAACATAAACAAACCTACATTTTTTAGCTCCTATCGCTCCTGCACATAGAATTTGAGCAGATATAAGAGGTGCTTCCAGAGGTGAACAGAAGGTTAATGGGAGAAGTGATAAACTGCTGCTGCTGTTTTAGAAGTCGTGCTTTTGGTAAACAATGAAGTGAGATTATGTTCTGACCTTCCACTAAAGTTGTCTTAGAGAGATTTGGGAACAAACAGAAGCATTCCTCCAAAACGCGTTCCACTGAAAACACACTTTGCAAAAATGTAAGGAGATTTGTTTGGTTTGACTAGTTGGTAATGACTGAATCATCACCTTTACAACAAGGTCTAACAATAAAGGTTTGCACATCTGTGGAAAGAGCAACACAGCTAAATTTGTGAGTAGCACTCCGAAAATCAGTCCAGAAATCTCTGCAATATCCCCCTTTTGGTTTTTCTTTAATGACCAAACAAACATTGCATGCACACAAGTCTGCAGCTGCAACATTTGCAATTCAGTGCATCAGACCGTGCTGTGCACCCAAAAGATTTCCAAAAGAAATGTGAGGAATCTTTGACTGGTTAATGTCCAAATAAACTAATAAAATATTGCATCATCAAAATGAATTAAGGATTCCAAAATCTTTACTAATCCATGTTATTTATGTTGCACAAACTATTAAAAATATTGAGTTTCTCCTATTTCCAGTTTCCCTAGAGAGTTCATTTGAATTGAACTTTTACCAGATTTTTGGAGGTGGACATGTTGGTCGGTGTGAGGGTAGAAGTTGCAGAAGACAATACGTGACGAGACACAAAAGATGAAGCAGTCAAATCAAACCTGCTTGATTGCTGGCAAAATATCTTGTAAACGATTGGATAAATGTTGATGCAATTCTAGGAAGGCTTCAACAGATGTTTACTTTAAATGTTTGGGGTCAACTCCATTCAAGATGGCCACCATTGATAACATTAGCAAACACAATAATGGCTACAATGTTGGTTTCATTGAAAATTACCTATATTTGGTGTTTTATTAGCCAATCATAATTCATATTGCACACTATAGTCTGTCTGTCTGTCTGTCTGTCTGTCTGTCTGGACATATAAAGGTGCAGTGAGGAGTTCAGGAGAAGTTCTGCTTTTATATGTGTGTGTGTTTGTGTGTGTGTGTGTGTGTGTGTGTGTGTGTGTGTGTGTGTGTGTGTGTGTGTGTGTGTGTGTGTGTGTGTGTGTGTGTGTGTGTGTGTGCGTGCGTGTGTGTGTGTGTGTGTGTGTGTGTGTGTGTGTGTGTTACGCCCCCTCTGAAGGTCTAGGATGATGAGGGGACTAACACAAGAAAATAGGTGTAAGTGTGTGAGAGTGGCTAAAGGACGAGGAGGTTAGTGTAAAAACAAAAGGATTTATTAACAAAAAGTGTCCGCTGTCGGAACGGCAAAGAAGGCGTAACAATAATGGTGCAAAATAAGGTGGAAACTGAAAACATAAGCAGACTAACTGCTTATGATAAAGGCTCTCCGCCTAACTTTAACCACCAAAAGGAAAATATCCCCGGCTCAGAAGTCCAAATGGGGATAACAACCACCAACATATAAGAAATCTGACGTCTTGTCAGATAACTCCTACTAAGGAGGACAATTAAGCCAAAAACTAGAACTCTGGAGAATCTCAGATAAATTCTGGATCTCTAGCAACAACCTTGAACCCAAACGGTAACTGTGTGAATAACCTTGAACCCGAGTGGTAACGGTAGCACTGTAATCAGGAGTGTCAAAGAGCGAGGGAGAATCCCCAGCTAATCCAGGGTCTCCTCGACGTCTGCTGCGTTCCTCCTTTTAAGCCTGTTGGCCGCTTGATTGCTGATGAAGATCGTGCCTCTCTCCGAGGTCCTGAAAGGGCGCTGGGGCGCTGGAAGGTGTGAGCAGGCCGCTCCTGGCGCTGTCCCTGTTGCTGGATCCTTTGCAGCAGGGACAAAAGGCTCAGGTTGGGATGAGAGGACGGACCGAGGGGACGAGGGTCAACACAGTGTGTGTGTGTGTGTGTGTGTGTGTGTGTGTGTGTGTGTGTGTGTGTGTGTGTGTGTGTGTGTGTGTGTGTGTGTGTGTGTGTGTGTGTGTGTGTGTGTGTGTGTGTGTGTGTGTGTGTGTGTGTGTGTGTGTGTGAAGTGATGCAACACACACATGGACATAATCTGTACATGAAATCCAATTTTATTTTTGCAATGTGATATTATTGTGAAATGACTCTAAAGTGCTGCACGGCTGATTTCTGGGGCGAATCCAGCAACTGTGTGACTAACCTTTTCTGATGGTCTCCTGAGAAAGAGAAAAGGAGATGAAGAGAGAGCAACTCCTTCATGATGCACACGGGCTGCTGGCTTTGCGATGCTGGTCACAGCTGAGTAGTAAATAACAACAGAGTCAATCATCCACACACACACACACACACACACACACACACACACACACACACACACACACACACACACACACACACACACACACACACACACACACACACACACACACACACACACACACACACACACACACACACACTTTAGGACTTCTGCATACAGCTGCAAACACAAAAATGCAAAGTGAGGATGATGTTTATTGATGGCATGTGGTCGGATGTGTCAAACTGCGAGAGGCTGTCCATCAGGTCACCGTGGTTGTCATTAGCAACGGAGCGTGATGCCAAAGCAGCCAGCTTCCAGACGACAGCTCCGGCATGCACAATCACTCTTGCTTCTGCAGATTTCTGAGCTCTCTCTATTTTCTTTAACAGCTTCAAACACGTGTAAACACAAAGGGTACAGTTGCTTCCTCTCACTTTCATCCCGCTTCACTTCCCTTCTTACTTATTCATGACGCGGCCGAGCTCGGCTCCCGTTCCTACGGCGTTGCCTTGCTCTGACACGACCCGATTCCTCATGCATTTTGACAACTTTGACAGGATGTTGCAGCAGAATACGATCTTGGCAATTTTGTTTCAAATCTCTGAATAAAATTCACACGGCGGCTAAATTAGCTGCGACAGGAAGTGAGCAAATTGACCCGATTTGGTAGATTTGGATTTGATTCTTTTCAGTTTTATTCTTCCTGCAACTAAATCACTTAGCTCACTTTTATTTGATCACTTTTTGAAAAATTATTTAGCCAAATCATCATCTGTCTGTCTGGTATCTTTCTTCACCTCCTTGCTCCTCGTGAGTTATCCTCTCATCTCTCTCCTCACCAGGGCCCAGAGCAGTGCGTAAAATGCCTTCACTTCAAAGACGGGCCCAACTGTGTGGAGAAGTGTCCCGATGGGTTGCAGGGCGCCAACAGCTTCATCTTCAAATACGCCAAAGCCAACAACGAGTGTCACCCCTGCCACACCAACTGCACCCAGGGGTGAGCTATATTTCAGATCTCTGAAAGTTCCTCCATGTTTTTCATCTGCACGGTGGATGAAGAGAAAAGGAAAAAGGGGACTGCTACATCTCCTGACCCGTGGGGGAACTTCCTGTCAGGGGCAGAATGTGTTGACCCTAAAGGTGCAAAAACAGATCAACTATGAATGAAGGGACAGGTGGTGACATGTACGGGGAACTGGGGAGATATGAAGCCAGCGGTGGTGTCAGCTGGGAACACGATAACACAGTCAGTGAAGAAGAGCTGGCTCTAGATAAAGGAGAACAATCGAACAAGAGCTGCATTCACAGGAGGTGCAGGAGGTTCAGGTTTTAGCAGTGGTTCTGATTCTGACTGCATTTGCATATCATACTAAAAAAGATAAATGGAATTTTTCTGAAAGATGATTAAAAAAAGGATGTTTTAAAATCTGTTTAATGCACATAACCACTGCTCAGAGAGAACAAATGGACTAATTGGGAACCAAACGTCTAATGACACATCTGTTTTCAACCACCTTGATTGTTTAGAGCAGGCATGTCCACATTACGGCCCAAAGGGCGTGGTTCTGAGCAGACTTAAGCTGCATTCTGAGAATAGTGGAATTGTGTTTCTCAGCTGGCAGCTTGTTGAAGTATATTTAAATCTTTTTTCATGTGAATGGAGAAGTCTAATTAAAAGTATTAGTCTGTTTTTTAACCCAGCATTTATGTTTTAATTTCATTTCATAGTGAATCAGACTCACTGACTCTTATTAAAAAGCAGACTCATGAATTTAGAGTCAATCCAGCAAACGTGAATGATAAAGTAGATAAAATAGAAAACCGTAAAGCTGTCAAATGTCATTAAGGTAAAAATTGGAGACACGTTTAATGCATCTCAGTCAAGTTTTACAAACTTTACTCCTTTTTTTGTACCCCCCCCCCAAACCTACATAAAACTGGGTTATTTTAATTATAAACATTGCATATTTTATGTAATTAATTAACCATTTCAAAACTAGATTTAAATGTCTGTGTTTTGTTGGGAAAAAAATCTAGTTTTTTTAGGTATTGAAAAGTTTAGATGCCCCTGGTTTAGAGACTATAATGTGAAAATGCAGATTTAAGGTGGGGAACACTGAAAACCCCATTTTTGTTATTGTTATTTCTAATTATAATCAGTCCCTCTGAGTTTTTCTTGCAGAATGAACATGAAAATAGTCTCCTACACCTATATCCTGCATTAGCTTCTGATAGAAAATAGAAGGTGAAACTCTAGGATTAGAAAATCCTGAAAGATCTACGTCACACTGTCACTCAACATTCACAGACTCACCCATCTTGACTTGATGGGGAAGGCTGTTGTTGATTTAGCCTCCAGGAAACAGCAGAGTGCATCTTGACTAGTAGAAGCTAACCGTTAGCAGTAGCAACTCCACCACATGGCAGAAATCCTCCAAGCTTGTGTTATTTGTGGAGATAAAACATGCACACTGCAGAGCAAACAGAGTCAGTGTAGACCACTGCAAATGCACTGATTAAATGAGTGTTCAACACCTTTAAAGAAAAAATTCAGGACTCTGAATTTTAAGCCATTCCCACCCAATTAGCCTAAGTCCTTCAGGACTGGTGAGCTAACAGCTGGTCAGAGGGGAACCAAGATCAAACTGGATTGCTGCCATCTCATGCCAAGTTTTCTAACATCCAAACCATCAACTTGATGATTTATTGTTTATTAAGATATATATGACCAATTTTTGTTTGTTTTTTTCTTTTAAATGTAGCCTATGTTGCCGTTGCTGGAAAAGAACAATTGATTAGATGATGTTTCAGTGCAGGTTTAAGGGATTTTATGGCCTGTGAGTTAAAAAAACACACTTTGCATATCTAAACCCGAACATTTTTGATTTAAGTGGTTTGAAAACATCAGTAATCCACTTGAGAATAGCCCTGCTGAGACTAGCTGTTAACTAACACCTGTGGCTAGCTTGTCACTCCTGTCAGAACCAATCTGTTTTTTCAAACCGAATTTAATGAAAAAAAAATTGTACAGCAGGAAATATATTAATTGTTCATAATTTTTGAAACATGCTTTGAAGCATTTGAGCTGTGGTACAGCACTAGAGCTATTTTAAACAGTGTGTGGCTAATTAGCTACTTGCTAGACAGTGTTGTAGACAGCGAGACAAAGACCGTTACAGTTTTTACTGATTTAATTCCAAAGTGATCCAACTCGCCTAATTTTCTGGCCCAATTTGCCGTGCTTCGTGTTGTGGCACACAAAAACGTTAGTGTTTCTGTCTCCGCCATGCTGTTTAGAGTCATTCACACAAAGATCTGGAGTTAATGAGCGGTGACAAGTGGGCTCTAATTACTTCCTGCTGGTTACAACACCCCTTACTGATAGATGTTATCAGTACCCAGAGGCTCTGATACTTAATATGGTCAGAAAGCATCATGATGAATACAAAAGACTCATAAAGGTCAATAAATAACAACAATACTCTTGAGTAAGGGTTTGTATTTCCAGGTTTTTTATGTGGATTACAGCAGCTATTAATAGTAAAGCTTAGAATACATCAAGTCATTTTATCTGCAAGTTTTTCCATTTTTCTCTTCTGCGTTATGGTGCTTGTCTGAGATTGGTGGGCACAAGAAAACCCAGCGCGTTTTGGTTGGAACAGAACAGAAAGTCGAACGGTTTCAGGTAAACACTAAAAATGTCCTCCATCATTAAAATATTTAAACAAAACTTAGACGAGCGACTTAAGCTGGTTAGCTTTGAGGTTTGCCCAATCCAAGATGGTCCACTGTATCAACCAACAACACATTTCCTTACCTGCACCAGTTTTACAAATGTGATTCAAATATGTGGAACACTGAAAAATCATTTTTTTAATGTTTATTTCTGATTATAATTGGTCACTCTGAGTTTTTCATGCAGGCTGACCATTAAAATAGTCTCCTACACCTGTCTCCTGCATTAGCTTCTGATAGAAAATAGGCGGTGAGACCCTAGGATTTGAAAAGCCTGACAGATTTATGCCAGTCGGTCGCATGGACACACGTCTTGACTCGCAACAAGGTTGGTTTAGCGTCCAGCAAACAGCAGAAAACATCTCGGCTAGCAGAAGCTAACCGTTACCATTAGCAACTCCACCATTTGGCAGAAGCTCCTACAGGCTTGTATTATTTGGGGAGATAAAATGTCCATGTTGCAGAGCAAGCGGAGTTGGTGGTAGAGTCGTGTTGCTGTTATCCAATCCCGGGCAAGATGTCTAAATATCGGGAAATGAGGCTAAAAAAATCCTGCCTTGTTTCTCCACTGTCTGCTGAAGCAGACTTATTCATGGTGATCAACGTCATTTCTGGACTTTTCTGCCCCGAGTATGACGCACTTCTACCAGAGACCACTGCAAATGCATGATTAAACGAGTTTCCCACACCTTTAATGTACCATTCTCATGAAACGATTACCAGGTTTCAGTAGAATTGAGTAATGAAAACCAGGACCATTCTTGTAAAAAAATAAATAAATAAAACTGGAACGAGGTTGAGAGATATGAGGGGTGATGTTGTGGTTGAGGTGCCTGCTTAATAATGCATTACATAGCATGATTAAGCAGTTATTAACACCTAACAATTCACTAAATAACATTAATAAAGGGACCCTTATGGTAAAGTGTTACCTATAATCTATTAACTCTTTCAGTCAATACAATTAAAGATGGCCGCCAAAACCTTGGCAAAAACAAAAACAGTAACAAGTCAGTTTAGAAGATTTTGTTGTATCATCATCTTACATCTTTGTTTTCAGTGGGCTCTGGTGACTATACTGGTGGCAGGTTAGCTTTAAAAACATGATGGTTGTGCAAACATGACTCGAACACCCCTAAGCTGACTTTCACAGCCTATTGTTGAGCAGATAAATCAAGCTAATAGTACACATTCTGTTCAAGTGGCGACCTTGTCTGGGTCTGTTGCAGGAAACCAACAAGCAAACTTAACATTTGGTGTTAATATTCCAATAATTCTTCTGGAAAAGTGAACTTTACCATATCTGAATGATAAAAAAAATAGAATGTTTTACCTCTATGCGGTCCCACATTTTATTCTCGTCACTTTTAATAAAGGGCAGTTAAATAAAGCAGCTGTGTGGGAAACACCCTGCTAACAGAAGGCTTTGCCGTAAAAATAAGCCATGGTGAATTCATCTTCATGCCACCTATGCTGACCTGACACGGTGTCGACACCTCGACCACAACATCACCCCTCATATCTCTCAACCTCGTTCCAGTTTTTTTTTACAAGAATGGTCCTGGTTTTCATTACTCAAAGCCTCCGAAGATTATGCTCTGACAACAAAAATGCTTCTCTCAGCCCTGAAAATCTTTTAAATCTCACATGAAAGAAAAGCAATGCCCCGCAGCGCAAATATACCTCCCCCTCCACCTTCTGTCACATTGACAAGTGGTCAGCCGCACTCCGTCCCCCCTCACACGCCTCCATCCTCCCCCCTTCCAGAGACAGCTGATTGACGTGGAAGAAAGACAACATGAGGTTTGCTCATAACCTGTCCCCCGATTTAATGGATGATCTCTCTGCTTTCTCTGCCCTGCAGGTGCATCGGGCCGAGGCTCCAAGATTGCGTTGGGATGATGGACAGGTAAGTGATCTCAGGATACATTTGTGATGCAGGTTCTGGGAGACCACCGTCAGACTCCTGCCACAACTCGTTAAAGTTCCCGTTAAAACCCGTTTCTCAAGATGCTCATTAACTAGAGAGTTGTATGACCTAGAAATCTTTTGTAAACCTGCACTAAACTTTGGATTCACTTGACAAGTAGTGGTGTTGCTAGATAAGTTGCATTTTATTGGGGGTATATTTTCTGACTTTGGACCTGGCATTCTTACTAAAATGCTTCTCGAATCAATGAAGTTATACATAAGGATATGTAAATAGGATAGGTTTATTTGGGGGGGGAATATATATATATATATATATATATATATATATATATATATCCATTCAAATAAGAACTGGAACTAAAAAAAGCTGAAATACTCGTACCCCATCAGTAGCTGGCAAAACTTCAACACCAAGAAACAAACAATGATTACACCCAAAAATGTTTAGCTATTTTTTTTATTTAAAACATTTCTTTATCAGCTCAAGATTGGAGTTTAGAATAAAAATATTTAAATGAAATGTAGAAGGTGAATCTTTACCCTCTGGAGCCATTCTGACACGCTTTAGTGTTCACCTTTATATTTCACTCCATGTTATTGCTTATGCCTTGTTTGGTCTTTTCAGCACAACCTCACCTATGTGAATTAAAGAGTCATTTCTTCATTTTTTTTTCAAACTGTATTAGCACACTGAACCTAAAATTACACAAAAGAAAATCAAAAGCCGAGTAGGAAAAATGACTAATTCATTGCAGTGAAGACCACAGACTTTTTAAACCAACTGTTTTCAGCACTCAGAATAAAACTATACAGTGTAAAACAAAACAGGTCAAATGTAGCAAACAACTGTTAGATGCATGTTTTTTGGCATAACAGTGCAAACCGTGTCTCTGGTGTTTTTCGTGTAAAATAGCTGAAAATGGAGTTCCACGCTTTCGTCTGCTACTTCCAAAAATGTCCAGCAGAAGACAGTGTCAGGTTTAGCAAACAGGAAAATGATATACTTCCATTGACATTATATACATACATTTACAAAGAAGGTGATCAGAAGCCATAGTTTGTGTGTCAAGCTTCAACGTAACACTCAGGGAACATCAGAGGCTTTTCAAATCCAGTGGGTGTCCTTCCTGACTTTGTCCACCTAAAAGCAGCAATGAGCAAACTATTCTGAAACAGACAGTCTTCCTTGCCTGCACCTAGCAACCATTTATGCATGATTTCATGATTGGGTGATGTGGTTTGTATCTCGGCCTATAGGATGAGCTTGATCTTGTCTCTCTTCCTGACTCTTGAGTCCTAGCTTACGGTAAAGAGCAGCGAGAGCCGAGACAGAGCTCTGTTTGTAGGATTTTGGCCACAGAGTGAACACGCAAAAGCGCCTTCATCTTGTCAGTAATTATTTACCTTAAATGTCTTAATTTTACTTGGATGAACGTGTTAAATCACAACTTTTGTTAGCTTTAAGCCGTCTTTGTCAAAACACGCTGAAACCATGATGCTAAGTGGTTTCCTGTTTGCAGAATAACCAGAGTAACGTGTGGCAAGGTGGAGAAACAATCCCCAGACTCTCCGGGTGAGAGTCACACGCGCTAACCAGTCAGCCAAAGGGATATCCCCTTGGCCAAGTAGCATGATCAATCAGGATACAGTGACAGGATGCTCACGCTGTCACAAATGTGACCAGTGCTCCATCACGTGCTGGTGGATTAACTCCAGAGGATTAAAGGGGACACTTTATGCAAATCTCACCTTTTCCCTAAAACAAGCCATTTCAAATAGTCCCTGGTTGTGATGCCACAATAGGGAAAATTTGCATTGAATCCCCCCCCCTGCAGTCAGTGCTGGAGGAGCAGCGGCCTGCTACCCAGAACCCCTCCCAGAAATCGGAACTTCCCCGATTATAGCAGCCTGAGTGGGGGATGGCTGGGTGTGGCCAGGAACAGCTTGTTTACTTAAAGTGACGCAGAGCTCTGAACAGGCTCATTCTGGAAGGTACTGGAAATTTGGTGAGTAAAACTACTGAGATCACTTTGTGTGAGAGAGATTTTATGCACACATTTTTATAAACGTGTTTTGTTTAGACCACTCAACTGACTTTAAAAAAGGAGCCTAAAATTATCATCTGTCAATGTTTTTTGCACGCAAAACATTTAAAAAAAAATCACGATTTATCACTTTTTAAACTTGAGCCTGATTGAACTTTCACCATATTTTCTTACTTGATACTTAAACACCATGTGACTCTTTTTATATCCAAATCGCTGGGCTCAAATTGAAGTTCTGAGCTTCCTTTAACCAGAGGAACAATTCTACATCCAGTGCCATCATCTGATGACCCCGTGTCACTCCTCCTGCTGTAAACCACTTCCTCGTGATTACACGGGTCCTTTCTCTCATCTACTTCTGCCTCAACATGTTACAGGTCTCCCTGTCAGTTCCACACGTTTTCTCCTACCATTTAGGCTTTCTGTATTTTTTTTCTTGCAATCTTTTGTCCTCTCTCTCTTCCCTCTTTTGACCACATTGCTACAAACTGCTGTTGAACTTTTTACAGCTTTTTTCTCATTATTTTCAAACACAGTGCCCTTTTTTTATTACAAGATCCAACTAGCTGAAAAGGATTTTTATCCCTCGGCAAAAAGTTGTCATATTTGAATGGGTTGACCATTATAAAGCAGGGATCAAACGCTTTGATCCACTGATTTACTACAAGTGCCACACTTGGAAATAACCATAGATTTTTTTTTGTCGGTAGTAGGGTTGTCACGGTATGAAAATTTAACCTCACGGTTATTGTGACCAAAATTATCACGGTTTTCGGTATTATCGCGGTATTTTTTAAACGGTGTTGCATATGTTCAGAAAGCATTGATAGTCCTGTTCTACACAAACTGAAATAGTTTTGAAAAGGTTTAACAGTGTTTATTAAACCTAAAATAACACAAAGCCTTAGCAAAAGTGCAACTTTTCACAAGTAAAGGAACAAATAGCTTCTTTTTCTGGAACATGTTACAGTAGTCAGTGCAGGTTTAAATGATACAAATCCAAACATTCAAAACATAAACAATATGTAAACAAATCAAAGAAACACCACTTGTTTTCTCATATACTTGTTTTCTTCATTATCAAAATGAAAATCTAAAACTCCAGTCCACACTTGACTTGAGCGCTGTACAAGTCAACCTTAAAAAATATGTATTTAAAATAAATAGCCACTTTAAACAAATTACTAAAATAACTACTACACTATGTAATCAAATCCAAATGTTCAAGTATAAATGGCATTGAATAAGTAAACAAATCAATGACAAGGAACTAATCGTATATTTATCTTCATCATCAACAAATAAGATGCTTCATCCAGCAACAGGGTGTCCGTGACACGGTTTAAATGCTGCCAGAGGACGCTGCGGCTGCAGTATTTAGTGACTCGTTGCATTCTCCCTCAACCAAAAGTCCTCACGTCATGCATTTAAGCTAAAATGCTAATGTTAACTTACCTTGCACCGGCTGTAGAGACGTGGGTGATCGTCACACAGATGTGCCATTAGATTCGAAGTGTTGCTGCCTTCTGCAGACACTTGTTTCCTGCACGTTCTGCAAACGGGATAGCCGTCTTCTATTAACTGTCCCTCAGCATTTTTCAGAAATCCAAAATATGCCCATACTTCCTATTTAGTCTTCTTTGAGGGCTGATGGATGTCCTGGGCGCTGCCGTCTCCTCCTTCGGCCATTATTTCAGCTTCAAAGTTTTGGTGCCGTTGCAAACTAAAAAGTGCGTGTGCGCGCCGCGGGAACTTCAGCTGAAGCGACGGTGGCTGGTAAGGGTCACCGCGCCGAAACCGCGGCCACGGTAAACCCACCGAGATAATTTAGTTTTTTAAAAACTGGACGGTTATTTTTATTGTCAACTTTTTTACCGGGGTTTACCGCTATACCGTTTACCGTGACAACCATGGTCGGTAGCATAATGTGAAACTGATTGTTTTTAAAAATGTAATGTAATGATAAACTTTATTTTTGGTGATTTAGACTATTTTGAGGTTGTCCTGCTCTTTTTAAGGCCCAAAACATCTGTTGCAATGAAAATGCAGCACTTTTCTGCCTTAGCTGCTAACGGCGGCTACAACTGATGGACATTTGAACTGTGAGTATCATGTTGAAGCAGATGTAACTTCATGCTCCGTGGAAAGCGGAGGGTGGAGGGAAGTCCGAGCGTTGTGGTGAATACGGAGCAAATAAAAGGAAGTGGAGGGGCTGGATGAGGACAAAGTGTAATAAAAGAGCAGAATTTAATGGTAGCTCAGCCGCACATACCAGTGCAGGTGGTATATAAATGGCAAACGCATTAGTGCTGTCATTAGTGAAGAGGAAGAGCTTTTAACTCCCAACCTTTACGCTTTCCCTTAAGCAGAATTTTCCTCTAAAGACAGAAAAGCAATTTCTGAAGGATAGCTGCTTTTGGTTTCTCCTTTATTAGAATTCTTTTATTTGATTACATTTTTTTCTGTATATTTGAGGTAAATCAAGGTTAAAGAAGTTTAAGCAAGAGTTCATAAGATTTCTGCAGAAAGCACCAACTGAAAGAACCAGTTTCTCCTTCCTCAACGGTAGATTTTGAACCATTTTGCTCTTCTGTTTCTGTAAAACTTTAAACGACTTCAATGAAGAAACAGAAAAAAAAATGCTTTAAATATTCATGAAACTTGGTTAGTCTCTTTCAGGGAAACCTTTTTTACACCCACTAAACAATCCTCGGGTTTGTTTTTCTCCTAAAGTTGAGCACAAGCCTTCGTGAAACGAATTGAAAATGATTTGGTTGTTTTCAGTGTTTGCAGAAGGAGATTTTCAGAGTAACGTTTGGAAACAGATGATTGTTTTCAGGAACAACAATGACAGAAGCAAGAACTTTGTGATCCTGACATCTTAAAGACTCTGTTTAAGACCTCAGAGGTTCCATCTGCTCTTCATCAACAAATTGGACAATGTTTCTCTTCTCTCAGCAAAGCTTTCTTTCTTCTACAGGATGCCTTTAATAGCAGCCGGCATTATCGGCGGACTGTTTGTCATCGTCATTCTGGCACTCAGCATAGCCGTTTATGTTCGACGCAAAAGCATCAAGAAGAAAAGGGCCTTGCGGCGCTTCCTGGAAACAGAGGTAGGAACACGGAAGTCACTCTAATAAAATAGAAGGCTTCACAGGAACAAAGTCTGTCTAAACTGACGTTTCAGGGTTGTCATGTTGCTTTTTTGCACGTTGGGATCAATATTCTTTGAAAATCCAATTTGAAGTGTGTTGTGTGTAGAAGTAGTGTGAAAATGAAAACAGTCTTCCCGGGTAAAGAGAGCTTCCTGAACAGCAGGTTTTGGGTAACGGAGCTCACTGGGACTGATGGTCTAGTCTGAGCACACCCAAGACCATGGTGTATCGCTGCAATCTTTAATTAGCTCCAGTATACAAAAGTGCATAGCAGTTTATGCTAGCACTGTTTGCTCATCATTTACGATGTGTAAAATAGAATTCAAAGAAGAACTTTAATGGAAGTATTTAGAATTTTCCTGCCGGGTGTGATCCCTGGATTCACCCAAAACTGCAACATTATGCTGATGAAGAATGTTGGTTAAGGTCATCCAGGTCATGGTAATCCAATTGGATATGACATTAAACAGAGGAGGAGGCCTCAGGTTTCACATTTCCAGCACCTACAATGCAGCACTAACAGTTTCTGTCTAGGTCACACCCTCCTACATCAAATCAAACAACCATTCCCACACAGGAGGACCTAATGACTCCAGTGGCTCCTCAGGGGGTAGGGAGGAGGGGTATTCAGAGGTAGTTTCAGCTCGTTGAGCAGCAACACCAGCTACAGCTGTAAGCTACACCCTCCCATATTCTAGGCAGAACTGATAAAGCTCCAGACGAGAAGTGAAAAGTCTTCAAGAAACAAATTCTTTGGATGAAGGTGAGGTTTACCCGTGTGATTTAAATGATGGCGGAGCAATCTGGGTCACTTTGCTGCTTAAATAAAATAACGAGCACTTCAATTGCAACTTTACCTTTGTTTGTTTTTGGGGAGGGGGGGAGGGGGGGAGGGGGGTCTCACAGAGTAGCTTCAAATCACCTTTTAACCTGGAATCAAAATCAGTAAATCTGTGTCCGTAAAAAATCTACTAAGTTTGTTAAGACCAAACACAGTTGAACCCCCACCCTCCACATATTCATGAACAGAATGTAATTTGGCATGCAGGAATCTCTTTCAGTTCTTGGTCAACTTGACCTCAAAGATGCATGTTGACAAACTGGGAGGTCATAAAAACACTTATTATTTATTTATTTATTTATTTATTTATTTATTTATTTATTTATTTATTTATTTATTTATTTATCTATTTATTTATTTATTTATTCATGTATGTAAAAAAAAGCTGTTTCAGGGGAAGCATTCATAAGCTTGATAAAAACTGTTATTTGTTTAGTTTCTATTACGGATTGCTTGGCCTGATAAAATCTTAAGATTGGACTGGCGCTGTTGTAAGGTGACAGGGAAAGCCTTTAGTATTGGGAGCTGTTGTGTTTTTATTCAATATTTTGACCAATCAGAAAGAGAGGCGAGATCATTTTGAGCTTTTCTTCATTTCAAATGAGTTTTTTCCCCCTTTTACTTAAATGTATATTTTAGGATTCACACAATAAAGTTATGATTAGTGATTTACTCGAGTATGGATTACTTAAATGAAGGATTGGTGACCATTTCAGATCAGATTTCTATCAAAATGTTTTTGCTCTTTTATGAAAAACTTCCCTTTTATTGTGTTTCTCCAGTTTGGATGATGGACTTTCCGTGTGTTTTGAGTGCAGGAGCCTTTTTTTTCCTCACTAACTAAACCAAAGTGAACCTTGAGACCTTGCTATGCCGAGCCACACGGTGCGCGGGAGGTTTTTAAGATTATTCATGTCTGCCGTTGCTCATCGATCTGGCCTTGACGCAGGTTCGTTTCTTGGAAGCTTTAGACGGCAGAGGAGGCTTTATATTCACAGGAGAAAGTCAGACTGGTGAGCAGGGAGGATGGCAGAGTTTGTGTTGATCACTTTTGCTGTGTTACAGGATGCTTGTCCCTGGTCTCTGCTCAGCAGTTATGTCATCGGTGTCTCGGGTGCATTCGACTGGCCTCCTCGCCCGAAGGAGTGCGGCAGGCTGCTTGTCATTCTGCATTAGTCTAATTTACAGGTAGAGGGTGGAGTGTTATAGGCAGCTGTCAGGCCAAAGACGGAGGTGGGTGACCATGGGGCAGTTTCTTCCTCATCCCGGTCTCACACATCCATCTTAATCAGCTGGAACCTGTCCTGACAACAGCTTGACCTGCGGGGGGAGCCGGAGCCGATTTGCTAATGTTCTGTCAGGAGGCGGGAGCTAAAAGGGAGATTCTCTTTGCTCCTTTCGTCTTACCCAACCTATCATTCCCCAGTTTAGATCTCACTTCATGTCCTGACTCAATGAAACCAGAGGAGCATGTAAAAATGAGCTGCCTCGTTATTTCCTGCGTTCTCCGAGGACGTCTAATTGAGTGCAAAAGTAATTAGGCGTAATTTAATCTTAAATGCTCACGGCAGGTTGGCCTGTAGGTCGCACTGTAGGTTTAATCGTTTAGTCCTCCCCCCAGAAGCATGTACGCAAACACATCAGTGGATCCCGAGCATGGATCTCGTTATAGGTCACTCTGGATGAGAGCATTAAGAGAACAGCAGAAAATAAAGCCTGAATATTACCTGTTAGGAGTTGTAGCCTGCAGGAAGGTGCATTTTCAGGAAGGGAAGGGTTACTGTACTGGTTTTAGATCAGCGGGCAAAAACATGATTTTATAGTTGAAAAGAGATGAAACATTCATTTAACCCACTTTTTCACGCACCAGTTTTGACGAATTCCAATCTGGTTTTTGTAAAAAGTATTCAACAGAAACTTCTTTGTTTAAAGTTTCCAGTGACATCGTGATGGCTGCAGACAACGGGGGAATTCACAGTGTTAGTATTGTTGGATCTGTCTGCTAGTGATGGGAATTCCGGCTCTGAACACTTTAAGAAATCTCCACTTTCCGACTGCTGGCGGTCATTTTCTCACCGTCTTCGTCGCATTCTCCTCTCTCTCGCTTGCCTTTTTCCTCCTCCTCATTCCCTCTCGTCTCCCTTCACCCGCATGTGCTCTGCTGTGTGTCTGAGTCCGACCCACCCTCTTTCCCGCCCCTACTGCTCTGTGTGTGGACAGTCTGGACACGCAGTTACACATGTTGACCAATCGCCTCTAGCTTTCACCAAAGCGTGGGGGCTGGGGGGTGGGGGAGGGGGGCTCCCAATGACGAGCCGGCTCCTGTCGTTCACTTCAAAGAGCCGGCTCTTAGAGCCGGTTCGTTCGCAACCGACACATCAGCACTGTCTACAGATTTTCACACTGTTGACCACAGCACCTTCATTAAACGACTTGGTGGGGATCTCTGGAACTGTTCTATACTGGTTTAGATTGTATCTTTCTAACAGAAGTTACAGTGTCTGTATAAACCAAACCATGTCAGATTCTACTGATCTGTTCTGTGGGGTACCCCAAGGCTCTATTTTGGGTCCACTGTTGTTACTGTACATACGCCCTCTTGGACAGATGTTTGATTCTTGTCATAATGTCTCTTATCACCTATATGCAGATGACGTTCAGCTGTACTGCTCCTTTAAGGATTCTGAGTTCTATAAACTGTCTGAATTACTAGAGTGTCTATCAGCTATCGCCAGCTGGCTAGAAGAAAACTTCCTTCAGTTAAACTCTGAAAAGACTGAATGTCGATTGTTGCCCCTGAGAGCATGGTTCCCCTGATTAGTCAACAACTTGGTCATTTATCATCTGCCGTCAACTCAAACTTAAAGAATTTGGTTGTTTTTTTTGACCAATCAATGTCTCTTGAAGGCCACTCAAAAACGTTGGTCCAAAACTGATTTTATCACTTAGGAAATATCTCCAAACTGCAAAGGTTGGTGTCAAAAAATGAACTTAAAATGTTCATCCATGGCTTTATCTCCTCCCGTCTAGATTATAATCCACCTGTTTAAAAGTACTTATTCACTGTAATCAAATATGATCAAGGACCTCGTTCTTCAGCTGTTGTTTTATACAGTTTATTTCCTTGTATCTATTTTATGTTTTTTAACTCTCTTGTTTTAAATGTGAGTTCGCCTTGAGTTTCTAGAAAGGCATCTCAAATAAAATGCATAATAATAATAATAATTATTATTATTATTATTATTAATATTATTAGTATTATTATTGTTGTTGTTGTTATTATTATTATTATTATTATTATTATTATTATTATTGCTATAACACACTGTTCACATGTTTTAACAAAAATAAATAAATAAATAAAGCCCTTGACCGCCTTCAGTTGGTCCAGAACTCTGCAGCGCGGCTCCCAACTGGAGCAAACAGAAGAGCACACATCACTCCTATCCTGATGTCTCTGCACTGGTTACCCGTTAACTTTAGAGTTCATTTTAGAATCCTGACTATAACTTTCAGGGCTCTACATGGTCAAGCTCCTCCCTATATTACTGAACTGTTAAAGCCGTATGCCCCAACCCGAACCCTCAGGTCCACCCACCAGAACCTTCTAGAAGTTCTAAAGACCAGACATATACGTTGAGATGATCAGACTGTTGCTCCTGACTTTGTAACAAATGTTCTTTCTCCTTACGCACTGACAGCCTGCACACCTTTTAAAAAAGCTTTTGTGACTTTATGATTTGTTTTGTTGATCTCTGTGAGGCGCTTTGTGCTTCTCTTTCTGTGATGACTGCAATATAAATGAAATTTACTTACTTTCTTACATTTTAAATGGACATTTTATCCTAAAATAGAATGAACACAAACTTCTAGTTTTTCAGACCTTCATCGCAGTTTTTACTGAGCTTGGACCCAGAGCAGCATCATGTCCAGGTTGACAGCAAAATCATATGGAAGACTTATCAAGGTCATTGAAATCCTGTCGACAGCTGTTCTTTATTTAATATATTTCACTTTCTTGAGTTATTCCTGAGACACTGTTAGGATTCAAAATGTGGATTTCTAAGATCTACACACAGAATACACTGTATTCCAAAGGATTAAACTAGCTTAAATG